TCTCTTTTTGCCCATTTCCACTGCTTCAGTCTGTTATCTGCCCTTACATATTTGTTAGACTTATATGACATTTTCCCTCTAGGAGTTTAACCTGGAATAAATAGCATTTCTTCCTTCATTTGTTCACATAATAAACTTATAAGATTGGTTGAACCAAAACTGGGCCAAAGTCATCTAGAGTATTTGAAAGAAGAAACCAGATTTAAGTCTCCCCTATTTTAACCCTACATCTTAACCATTAAACACACCAATAATAATAATGATGATGATGTTGGAAGGGACCTTGGAGGTCATCGAGTGCAACCCCCTGCTCAAGCAGGAAACCCTACACCATTTCGGACAGATGGCTGTCCAGTCTCTTCTTAAAAACTTCCAGTGTTGGAGCATTCACCGCTTCTGGAGGCAGGTTGTTCCACTCGTTAATTGTTCTAACTGTCAGGAAGTTTCTCCTTAGTTCTAGGTTGCTTCTCTCCTTGATTAGTTTCCATCCGTTGCTTCTTGTCCTGCCTTCAGGCGCTTTGGAGAATAGCTTGACTCCCTCTTCTTTGTGGCAGCCCCTGAGATATTGGAACACTGCTATCATGTCCCCCCTCGCCCTTCTCTTTGTTAAACTAGACATACCCAATTCCATCAACCGTTCCTTATATGTTTTAGCCTCCAGTCCCCTAATCATCTTTGTTGCTCTTCTCTGTACTCTTTCTAGAGTCTCAGCATCTTTTTTACATTGTGGTGACCAAAACTGGATGCAGTATTCCAAGTGTGGCCTTACCAAGGCATTGTAAAATGGTATTAATACTTCACGTGATCTCGATTCTATCCCTCTGTTAATGCACCCCAGCACTGAGTTGGCTTTTTTGGCCGCTGCTGGCTCATATTTAAGTGATTGTCCACTAGGACTCCGAGATCCCTCTCACAGTTACTACTATTGAGCCAGGTACCCCCTATATTATACCTGTACATTTGGTTTTTCTTGCCTAAATGTAGAACCTTACTTTTTTCACTATTGAATTTCATTTTGTTAGATAGCGCCCAGTGTTCAAGTCTGTCCAGGTCCTCCTGTATCTTAAGCCTGTCTTCTGGAGTGTTGGCTATTCCTGCCAACTTGGTGTCATTTTGAAAATTTGATGAGTTCCCCATCTATTTGCATGTGATGGTTTGTCTGCTAGTGCCCCTCCCCACCGTGCATTTCATTAAAGTAGAGGAATTCTTGAATCAAAAACATACACAAGCCAGCCACAAAACGTACCTATAGTACACCCTTAAAACAAGATTGCATCAGAATTCAATCTAATGCCCTGCGTACATTCTTGAATTATCACAATTTCAATTGGGACAGGCTTGTCTTACTCGTTTATGTACAATGGGATTTATAGTTATAGATTTTGCTCCACCTAGTAAAAAACTGTACATTTCCTTGTTAGATAAAAAAACTGCTCAAGGAAAATAAACCCATATAATCATTCAACATGCATAAGAGGAAAAACATTTCCCTCTTGTCTTATGTGCAAATTCTTCACACATAACACCTCCAGCACTTCTTTTGGGGCAGCATTTTCTCACAATATCTAATTGTGATTGGCTTCCTCTAGCTTTATTCACACACGTGCATGTGCACAAAACGTATTAATTTTATACGATGGACTAAAATATATTTTAAAATAACAGGAAGCAACAGGATATATAGTCTATTTGTTGTAACTATCATCTGAAGCGGTGTGTTAATAGTGCAGAATTTATTTTGCTATGAATTATTTGTTCTTGTTTCTAGTCAATGCTTCAATCCATATTCAGGAAAACAACTCTTGACAAAGAATACACCACAGTGCCATATGAGTGTTTTCAGATCTCACAGGTAATAACAATGCAAACATCTGGCAAATAACTCTTCTCTTTTTACAATTTGCAATCTAAATCCTATTTCACAGGAAAATTGTTGTGCCCAGTTATATTTTAAAACAGCCGCTAAGTAGCTCTACTTAATGATGAAATTCTGCTTCAATAGCGGCTGCCAGGTGTTTATCATGGGCCACAGAGATTCAGCCACATCCTTTCCCTTCCCATCAGCTCTGCTCAGGATTTCTGCCTTCTCCCTACCATTAGCAGAAGGAAGGCAAGAATATTAAAGAAGATTATTGAAATAAATGTGGGTCCACTGTCTCCCCTTCTCAAGCTGGAAAGCAGTGATCGTGAACAGATTCTTTGGATGTGGAAGTCTTGCCCTCCTCTTTCCAAGGCATCATTCTAACAATGTGCTGATTCTTCACTGCTGTTATCATCAAGTATCTGATTATTTGGGCTTTGAGAGGAAGCAGCTAGAGTACTCTGGATCATATCAACCACCCTCCGAGACGGGATAGGTTGAGAGACAGTAACTGGCCCAAAGACTCCTAACCAGCTTTTATGGGAGGCCTAAGATTCAGGGTTTTTAAAATAAAATTATTATTATTTCTATGCAGTACATTTGCCACCCTGCCAGGCTAATTCTTTCACTGGTTCCCATCTCTGAGATAGTATTTTGAAATTGTTTTTCTGTAAGTGTCAGCAGTCATAAAGCATAAAGTATTAAACTTTAAAGTGATGTTTAGATTGTTTTAATGCTCCAGTTTGTTTCATGAGCCTAAGCACCCAAGATCAGCAGGGAATTATGTGCTTCCTCTTCAGAATATGCAACCTTGTCATTATATTCAGGACTAAAAATGAAGATTATTCCAATTCTAAGTATAAACTAAACCTAAGCGACCAATTTTGGTAACACCAGCATCTATATTTTACTAAATAATCTCTAAATTATACTGACCAACACATGAGAGAGTACAGAATATTTTTTATGGTAATTTTATAATTATTTTACCAATATTATAAAGTCAGGCAAAAGAGCTAATTGAACTAGTGCTCACAACAAATGAAAGCCATTGTTAATATTTCTTATGTAGAGCATATCTTTACAGAGATACTCAATTGATACTTAATGGAAAAGGATATTATAAGATTTTATACCCACACTCTACATCCTAGGTGCTTGCAATGTCACAATAAAACATAGTTGTCATGGTTCCAACAGATGAAACTCTTCAAAGAACTTCGAGGCATTGTTTACCTTAAAGAATCTTTATTCGAGTAGCATAGCATCGGCAGGTACATAAGCAAAGCCAAAATCTGAATTCCCCTCCCCTGAGCACATAGTATCAAAGCACAATTCCCTCCTCTAGTTAACAATCATAAATCACATTCTCCAATTAGTTTGAAATGCAGGCTTTCCCTCCAGTTCTTCAACCCCCATTTCTTATCTTCTCTTATTTCAAAAAACCTTGGTTCTCACACTATTTACAATATTGTTATGTCTAACTAAACTCCCATGCACATTCCTCCTCCCCCCCCAGTATCATCTATTTCTAACTCTAATTCTAAGAGTAAAACAAAGTAAAGGAAAATGGCTGCATCTCCATATGTTGTCAAAGCAAGCACATTCGATGTTAGCAGCGTTGACAATAGTACTGTGTTAAGTACTAGGCAAATTGTCCTTCACAATAAAATACAGTACTATAAGGGCCTGGAAAAAGTGAACAATTAACTGCAAGTTTTGTCTTAATTAACCTTCAGGATACATCTTATTTATTAAAACCAGAATTCTTTCTTTACCTTTTTCCTGGATATCCTATGCAACTATTTCCATACTTCAGGCTTAAGCTTTTTAAACCTTTCACAATCTCTTCCAAAGCAAGAAATTTTTAAAAGCCATTTGCTATATAGAATAAAAGTTTGCAAAAATTAAATAACATTATTGAGGTTTTAACTGTGCAAGCACACCATATTGTGAAGAAAATGTTGTGAATTAACATCCTTAGTAGAACCTACACACTCTATTTTTAAAAACAAAAACAAAAGCAGATTTGCTCCAATTGAATCTTCTCTAAACATAAGACAAATAATTTTTTGAACATCTGAGAAGATGAACCACCAATTATAAACGTATGTTTAGGTACACAGAAATAGCAAAATGTTTGTTCATCGGTAATTTAATTACCTTTATAGAGACAAATAATGCATTAATGCCAAGATTCTCTGCACTCTTAATTTTTAGCTATAGCAGGCTTAGAAAAGAGTTAGTATTTCAAACTGTAATGTGATAGCACCTGTCAGCTCTGAAATTCTTTTATACAGATGGGCCCCATAGGCTTGAATATTTTTCAATTACCAGTATATTTTACAATCACATGAAAGTAAAGGGACATTTAGGAGCTAGAAACTTGATCAATGTTAGCAATGGGAAGTTATTAGAAGTTTATAAATTCACTCATGAAAAATAAAATGAATAGAAGTCTTGAGAATTTGTATCTCTAATGTGAATTAGGGAGAAAAAAAAGAGATGGTCTCAGACAGCATAAATAATGCTTTATTTGGAGAGAAGAAGAACATGCAGTATGCATTTCCAAAGACTCAATAAGATAAAGTGCAGATATTGGTTACATCTGCTTTCCAGACAAGAGAACAGAAGTATTTTCCTTCGCTTTTTTTTTTAACTACGCTAGCAGTCATAAATCCTGACTGCGCTTCCATTTATGGGATGTCTGTCTCAATCTAAAGGGGGAGAAAACTCCTGTTTGTATTATTCAACAAAATATAGAGTATAATCCCCAAACACAGAGAAGTTATCTTAAAAAAAGGAAAATGGCAGCTATATACTTGGAACATCTTACACCCTGCAAGGATAGCTTTAATACTATCAAACAACAACAACATCTGCCTATCCTTGGGAAGGGCTTGAGAGCGATAAAAATGCCAAATCCAGTCTGAACACAGGGTTGACTGTGCCATCAGCCACAATAATAATGCTTCACACTTGCTCTTCTACTGCCAGAGAACTCTATAGTTGCAGAGACAAGCGACAAGAGCTTTGTATATTTTGCTGTCAATAAAACAGAGATAGTTTCTTTGGCATACTGCATTCTTGTTACAAAAATTGTGACGTGCAGCCTGGCTGCAGGACTACTTTTCCCTACCTGCGACTTCCAGGGTTAGCTCTTTCCCTAACTGTTCTCTTCTAGTTCTTGTGAGCAATTCACACCGCTATCTAAATGTCCCCTTGTTTTTTTCTTCCAGGGATCCAAAGACTTCCTCAATGTCTATCGAGATTCTCAGGCATCCAGGTCACGTTTGTGTCCCACAAGGTGCTTTTTTTCCAAGAGGCAACTGGAACTGTCTTGTTTTTTTTTCTTGGAAGACGTTTTGCTTCTCATCCAAGACGCTTCTTCAGCTTCTTCGCTTCCCCATCTTCCAAGTCAGAGCTGAAGACGCTTCTTGCAGGAGAAGCGAAAACGTCTTCATAAAAAAAAAAAGAAAGTCCAGTTGCCTCTTGAAAAAAAAAGCACCTTTGGAACAAAGACTTCCTGCTCTCCTTCAAGGAACCTGGGCACCGATGTCTCTTCTTCTACGAGGGGGAACTTGCCCCACTGACTAGCTGGTTTTAACAGAGATGGAGGAACTGGTGTCCATAACCTGGGGTGAGTCTGGATGTAGGGTTGCCAGGTCTGCTTCCAAAAAATAACGGACAAGCCGGGGGGGGGGGGGGTTAAGTAGTAAAAAAAGTAGACTGTACAGCTTTAGATTACGTACCATTTCATCATAAAGCTTTTGAATAAAAAAAAATGTCCACTATTTTGTGGAAAAAAAAATAGTGAACATAATGTGAAAAAAGCGGACTGTCCACTCAAAGAGTGGACACCTGGCAACCCTATAAAGGATGTCATCTCTCCCCACAGAAAACTCTCCCTTCCCGACTCAGTCTGGAAAGTCCTCAAGGTTTCTTTTCCCACACTGGGACGGTCCGGCTCTTTGGACTATCAGTCATAATGCCCCAAACATCCATTTTCATAAGAGGGAACTTGAAGGAATTCTAGCGCAAAACGTTCGGAGGGCGCCAAGCTCTTTCCGCTCGGCTCATGAGGTCCCCCCCACCCCTCCGGCTCCCGCCTCTCCCCCCCCCGCCCCTCCGGGGCCCCGCGCCTTGCTTTGCCCAGCCGCGACTTCTGCTTCTTCGCCACCCACCTGGCTGCTGCTTTCGGCGGGCAGGTTCCTCAGCAGAATCTTGCGCCTGTTGCTCAACTCCTGCCTCGTGCCCTGCAGCCTGCGGGCGATCTCCTCCGTGGACAGAGCGGGGGGCTCCTCGCCCGCTCCCCTGGCGGGCTCCCCCGGCGGAGCCCAGAGCGAGTCGGGGCTGGACCCGGCGGATGCCGCCATCTTGCCGGCCCAGAGGCGAAACACGCTCTCCCTCCGCCAGGGGAAGCCGGTGGGCGGGAGGGGAGCCAGGGCGGGCTGGGTCGGAGCGGGAGGGGCGAGGAGAGCTCAGCAGCCGGCGGTGGTCAGCTTGCGGCCGCCTGGGACACAAAGGAAAACGCGAGGCGGGCGGGCGGGCTCGCGCGCCCTCGCTGCCCGGGCTCTGAAGTTCCTGGCCGCGCTCGTGCTCGTCTCTTGGCCGGGAGGATGCCTGCAGGGCGAAGGATCCCGTGCGTCGCGGTTTTGGCTCAGGGTCGCCTACGAAAGGAACGAAGCGCCTTCCGCGCCCCTCTAGCCAGCTCTTGAATTATCCAGAAAGAATAGAAAGGGTTGCGTCCGCCGTCAGAGCAATAGCTTGACACCTTTCGCTCCTTAAAGAGTTGTGGGTCAGGGCAATGTGACAATCGAGATGGGCACGATAAGGGAAAACGTTGCCCTCGGAATGGCGTGGGGCGCCACGAGGGAGGCTAGGTGCCTTGAAGTGAAAGTGGATGAATGTTTCACCACAACTAGGATATTATATAGGATATTATATAGGATATTATATAGGATATTATATAGGATATTATGGGGCGCCACGAGGGAGGCTAGGTGCCTTGAAGTGAAAGTGGATTAATGTTTCACCACAACTAGGATATTATATAGGATATAGGATATTATATAGGATATTTCACCACAACTAGGATATTATATAGGATATTAAGTCGTGTTTTTTTCCCCCCAATGCACTGCGAGACTGGAGAAAGCATTTGGAGTTTTAAACACTTCAGAAGGGGAAAGCGTTTAAAAACAGGGAACAACTGTTTTTAAAACTTCGTCACAGTTAAAACAAACGTTGACCTTCCCTCGCTTTTTTGTTATTTAATTTGTGGGAGGGAAAAAAATAATTAAGGTTTCTGAAGAATGGGAACAGATTTCCAGACATACACGTTTAGCAAACTCCGCAAAAGCTTGGGGATAAATGCGTTCCTCCAGTCTCTCGGTAAAGTAATGTAGCGTTTTATATTAACTCTGTAGAGATCCCTCTGCATGCATTGTTAGGTTTTACTGTAGCAACAAACGCACGTTAGAACCTCTGGGTAATATCAGGTGACAGGCGGAATTAAAACTGACCTTGAACACCACCCTCATATTCATCATAACTAAGGAAATCCTCTTGTATTTCAACAGCTGTTCTAGAAGAGGATGGAAATGAAATAAACAGCTGGCAAACAATCATTTTCACAGGTGGCCCAAGAGGCTTTGCCACTTGCCTCTAGCCAGGAGATCAACTACAGGTAGTCCTCAACTTACAACAGTTCATTTAGTGACTGTTCGAAGTTACAACGGCCCTGAAAAAAGTGACTTATGACCATTTTTCACATTTACAATTGTTGCAGCATCCCATGGTGATCAAAATTGGCAACTGGCATGTATTTAAGATGGTTGCAATGCCTCGGCTCATGTCATCACCTTTTGAGACCTTCTGACAAGCAAAATCAATAGGGAAGCCAGATTCACTTAATGACTATGTTACTAACTTAACAACTGCAGTGATTCACTTAATGACAGTGGCAAGAAAGGTCATAAAATGGGGAAACATTCAATTTTTTGCTTAGCAATGGAAATTTTGGCCACGATTGTAGTAAGTTGAAGGCTACCTATACAAATATTAATTTAAGTTTGAAGCAGCTGAAATATAAGAAGATTGGCTAAATTAGCCTGCTAGCATGTTTGAAATCATGGGCAGCAGGTCTGCCATGATTTAGCTCAAGAGTTCTTCAAAGTGTTCAATATTGACCCACGAAGGGTCAAAGTAACAATCTATTCTTGTTATTTGTAGTACAAGTAGTCCTTGACTTACAACAGTTCATTTAGTGACCATTCGAAGTTACAACAACACTGAAAAAAGTGACATATGACCATTTTCACCATTACGACCATTGCAGCATCTCCATGGTCACATGAACCAAATTCAGACATTTGGCAACTGACTCACATTTGTGATGGTTGCAGTGTCCCGGTATCATATGATCCCCTTTTGCGACCTTCTGACAAGCAAAGTCAGTGGGGAAACCAGATTCACTTAACAACCGATGTTACTAATTTAAGAACTGCAGTTATTCACTTAACAAATGTGGCGGGAAAAGTCATAAAATGAGGCAAAACTCACTTAACAAATTTCTCACTTAAATTTTGTTGAGGACTACCTGTACTATTAATTAAAGTAACATTGATTAAATTATTTTCATATAATAAATGTTTGGAGGGTGATAAAGAATCAAAACTTCATGAAGGGCTTGATAGCTGAAGAATTTGGGGACTCCTGGTTTACTTAGCACTTCTGTATGATTTCCATTGAAGCAGATTTTGCCATGCACAACAGAGAAAACAGAAGAAAATTCTATCCATGAACTACCAAGTTTTTTCCCCACACATCTAATGTGCTTTCTCACCATCCTCAAGATAGGAAAAAAAATACATTGGTTTGAAAATGTGTTGGTCATGATGGGGGAAATGCAGAGGAAATAGCATATTCAGTAGTGGTTAAGGAACAGGAAGAGTGAAGGATTCCTGTTCCCCCATGTTTTTCCTCTTTCCAACCAACAATATGGAGTGGTTTGGGCTGAGAAAGCCATAGAACTTCCTTGGCTGAGGAAATCTAATACCTTAACCACTGTGCCACATACAGCGACATTAAGTTGGGCTTCAACACACAGGAATGTAAAATTAATGATTTATTCATATCAATAAGAACTTAGATAGGCCAATCATAAGGATTAGCATGACGGAAAAATAGGACCAACATGAACTAGTAACCATTACAGGTGACCAAAACATTCTGTATAGGAATGTCTGATCCACAGAACTGCTTGTGTTGGGTAGTCCATACCCAATCCAAACTAATGTATCTATTTCAAATGCTTTGATTCATTGGAAACATACTGGTAGAGATTGAAATGATCATTTACATTCATCCGTCCATCCATCCATCCATCCATGCATCCATCCATCCATCCATCCAATTAATATAGCACAGGTGTCAAACTCGATCACGTCATGTGACATATCGTGACATTTTTTGCCTTTGCAGAACCGGGGTGGATGTGGTCGTGCGTGATGCATCCAGCCGGTGGGCTGCCAGTTTAACACCCCTGTTCTATAGCCACACAGGTCAATCAACTGATTTTGGGGTAGAAGCAATATGAGGAGGTGGTAAGAATAGAAAAAAGCCATGTCTGAAGGGTTTTTCGGATGACATCAACTTTGTCTTATTGTCGCCATAGAACAACACAAATTCTGATGGATTTTGTTACAGCTAAAACCTCAAATATTCAGAATGCTCCAGGTTTTGTTTCTGCCAAGGTCCGATCCAAAATGGTTCATCATAACTTCCATTATTTTCTGCTTTGAAACAGAATGTATATTCCATGTAATGCATATCCCTCATTTGTATTTTCTTTTTATAAGAATTAATATAAAATCCTTTGGACTCAAATAATTTCTGCTTGAACAGTAGATGGAGGCTGTGGCCAGGAATGCCTCCATAAAATTGCATCTTATGTGCCAGTTGTGGCTATTCATATAACAAATAGTTTACTATAATTTCTACTATATTAGACTGCAGCTGAGGTCTATTCAGAAACTTTTGGTGGTTCAGCATTTAGCAATCCAAATAGTTGTGGAAGAAACTAGATTGACTCATGTTATATCATTTCAATGGCAGTTACCGTATATACTCGAGTATAAGTCGACCCGAATATAAGCCGAGGGACCTATTTTTCCTCAAAGAACTGGGAAAAAATGGTGACTCGCGTATAAGCCGAGGGGGCATTTTTCAGCACACACATTTTTCCGACCGGGCGGGCGGGCGAGAGAGGCGGGCAGAAAAAAAGGGGGGGGGGGAAATCCACACACGCTCGCGCAGGGAAAGGGGGAAACGGGTGGGCCGGCCGGCTCCCCTCTCCTCTTTGTGTGTGTGTGTGTGTTTGTCTCTCTCTCTCTCTCTCTCAATTCTCCCCCACCCCAAAAGCGGGGAGGGGGCGACCTTGCAAAAGGGAGGGGGCTTCTCCCGGTTGCGGAGAAGGCTGGAGGTGCGCCTTTCTCGGCCAGCCCGGGTAAATTCGGCCATATTCTTCAATACGGGCCGGCCCCAGCAGTTCCGGCTGGTTGCCGGCAGTTGGCTGTTCCTCCCTGGCCGCCTCAGCCTCCCTAGCCCTGTCGGTGAGCGCCCGGCAGGGCGCAGCATCGCCAGGCCTCCCCCCTTCGTGCGAGGCATCTGGCGTTCCCCCTCGCGCTTGGCTGCGGCGGCAGGAACACGCTGGGCAGCGGTGGCGGTGGCGGCAATGAGCTCGGCGGCGGTGGCGGGAACGAGCCGGGCGGCGGCAGCGATGGCGGCAATGAGCTCGGCGGCGGCGGGAACGAGCCAGGCGGCGGCNGGGGAGCGAGCGGCGAGCCGCTGTGAACGCCGCCGCCGCCAGGCAAGCAGGCGGAGCGCAGCGCCGGGGAGGGGGAGCGAGCGGCGAGCCGGCGTGGCTTGCCTGGCGGTGGCGGCGGCAACAGCAGCGGCTGCTTCGAGGCGCTGACTCGAGTATAAGCCGAGGGGGGCATTTTTCAGCCCCAAAAATGGGCTGAAAAACTCGGCTTATACTCGAGTATATACGGTACATTGACTGACAGCTTCAGGATGTAATTCTTATTACTGGCTAGGATCTCCATGACTTCCTCTGAACCCAATGTGCCCAACCAGTGTGATCTAGCAGGGAAGACTTTCAGAGTGTCTAAGTTGAGAACACCAACTACAGTGACCCCACACTCAAACTTTTCCAGTGTAATCCTGCTTATAGAATAGCTACTTCCAGATATTTGGACTTCCAGTTCCCAATTATATTTGCAGAGAGCCTAGAGAACATAGCTCTTCAGACAGGTATTTTGGGATGTTTGCCTCAACCATGATGTATCAGGGCCTTGTTGTGTATATTATTTGTCCATTTCAGTTGTTAACAATTACTGACAACTATTCATTAACATCTTTGTAATTGTTTATATTTTACTTTTACAGTATTGTTATTTCTAAGCTGCTTGAAGCTTTTGAAATGGAACAGCATATAAGCTAAACTAAAATACACATATACATACACTTTTTCTTTAACTGTATAAAATCACCTTTGCCAATTGCTGGCTTAGGTTGCTTGTAGATCGTTTGTTACAAGAAGCATGGTTTGCTATTCTTGCTACATCATAAAGGGCTGATAGGAATCAAAAAGTGGCATTTAGGACAGATACTTTAAACCCTACCCCCACCAAATTAAAATGAGTTATTTTAAAATTTGATTAAAGTTGTTTTGGAGATTAGCCATTTTTATGAGTTTTGAAATTATAGCTGGGCCTGTAAAAGTATGGAGTCCTGTATTAAAACTATTTTTACTTTTTTATACCTTATCATTCTACTCAAGCAAACACTCAAGATCTATGTTGTAGCTTAGTCTGTGGCATGAATGCTACTATTTTACTTTAGGGTTATTGTACAGTAAATGCCTAGTATTGACCATAAAGCAATAAGGAAACCATGTAAATGAAAATGGTGTTTGGCTTTGGGTTAAAACTGATTGATGCAGTATATCTGCATCAAATAAATTCTCTCTTGTTATCTCACAAGAATTTTAGAATAACTCATCCTGGTCATCTAATACATCAAAAACTGAACTCAAATGATGTCTGCTCCTTCCAACTGTGGAAGATCGTCAATTAAAGGTGTTTTGCCAATGACAATTGAAAAGATCTGGCTCTACATCATAATAGAGAAATAGGAAATACTGTCCATTCCTGATCTTGGCAGGTCCAGCATCAGCATTCAATACTGTAGCTTAGTTGGGGTTGATAGCAGCAACTATTAACATTTCACATAAACTCCTAGAACTGTTGCAAGATTTGGGAATAGCATAAAATGAAAATGGTAGCTGGAACAATATAGTATCAGAGTTACTTTGGAAAATTCAAAAGTTTACTATTTCTGTCACTTTAAAAACCAGAAACGCATCAATATATGAGACTCTGTGAGGTAAATAGCCAGAAGAGACCTGGATTTTCATGGAGAGGTTTTAAGTACAGTATAATACAACCTCAGACAGGTTAAGACTTAAGGTTTACATATTTAAATATGACATGTTGGAGCTTCTAATACAGTTAAAAAATGGTGAAGTAAGTGCTTCCTCTATTTAAATAGCACTATTTCTCTTTAAGTAACCTTGAAAAATGTACTTATTTATGCACATTCTTGCTTTTGGAGGGAGTTGATTTGAAACAACTTTGAGTGCAATGACAATTAAATTTCTAAGATCCTGCATGAAAGTCCCACCAACCAAACCTCCTATTTCCTTAGATAATAAACTGAGATATGTGGGTGAATATTAGGAGAGCAACATAGATCTTTTTTTCCTTGGGACTGCTTCTTGCTAGGCATGCACATGGAAATGACAGCTCACAAAAAACCAACCTTGGATGGCCTCCATATCTTGGTTCTGGCCAATGCCTGAACAACTGCCTGTAGTTTTCCCCCCCAAAAAACCTGGTTTGCCCAAACTAGTCCAAAGAAACCCAGTTGGTTTTAAGGCAAGAGAGTCTCCCAATATCCAATCCAGGGCCTTTAACCACTACACAAAACTAGCTCTCAAGAAAGACCAAGGGGGGCAGACTATTAAGAGTTCTATCATTCTGGTCAGATGCCTTTAAAATCCAAGGGAAAACAGTAACACAATATGTTTAGAATGCTAAAACTTTATGACTATCTCATTTAACAGAATATGTTCCAGGTTATACTTCTAGGTAGGATATATTATTTTTTTAAAAAACATATTCAAGATCAGTAAATGTTATTAATGTAGCCGTTTTCATTTATCAATTTTCAAAATGACAATTACAAATTAAAATCTTTGAAATTTGTATTATCCAATTTCCATGTACTGTATGCAGATGCAGTTCATTTTCTATTGTAGTTACTTCCAGCAATTATTAAGCCTTGGGAATTTTAACAATTTCCCAGTATTTGATTAGTTTCTGCAGGAACTAAAATTGAACATTATCAATTTTTAAAAGTATTATAAAACAGCAACTGCAGTTATTATAAAAATGTGTTCTTGCTGTGTTTGAACTCTTAAGAGTGTTTTGTTTAATTCCAAGGACTAACAATCAAATGGCAAACATCACAATCACGTGGGAAGAGAAGCTTTCTAATCAATTCCATTAAGGCCATATCCTGTTCACACAAAGATTCCCACAGTGAGTACAGATTATGTCTCCTTCTATATCAGAAGACCTTGGAATTCACATGCAGCTCCCCACTGCTATTTTCAAAGTATCTGTGAGCTTAAATATTTAGAAATGAAGATGGCATCTGGAAGAGAATATCTAATGCTGAAGAATTTGTATAACTGCGTTGCAAGTTAATATAAAACATTTTTATGCCAAATTACATTTGGACCTGTTAAAAGTAATTCATAAATCCATACTTTACATAATTTTATTCCACTAGAAATTGTGATTTTATACATAGTATAAAGGGCATCATGATAGCACACACATACTTTACCATACTGTTAAAAACCATTTACATAACTATTAAGTACCCTATTATTAAAGCAATATTCAGATACCTTTTTAAAAACTACATATAGATGAATGTTTATCATATGCACAAGTGCAAATATGTGCCCATAATATTTTAGTCACTTTAAAACAAAACACGGCGACTTAAAACTAGCTTAAAATTATATGGTCCATGTGTCATCAAGTCAGATGTTATGAATCTCCAATGAAGAACGAAAACAGTGTTAAACTCCAGATAAATGGGAGAGACCTTTTATCATTATGTTTTGAAAATTTTTCCATTGTGTGAAATGGAAACAATTAGCATTTTCAGTTTGTCAGTCATGAATGGCACTGAATACTGTGTTACTATATTAAATGGAATTTTGCCCCCAAGTTGGAAAATAAGTAAGATGGCGAGTGAGAGAAGAATAGGATTCTTCAATGCTTTAGCCAGGAGGCTCAGACTTCGTATCACATTTCTACACAATTTTAGTCATATATATAAATTGTGGAGAAGGGTGATATATATAATATAAACACAACAAGCCATGTTTATAGTGTACAAATGACCATGGAAACGAACCCTTAATTATGTAAACAAATCAGCACACAATTTCTTCATTTTCCCTTTATAGCATGGTGCAGAAGGGGGTTGAATATCAAGTCTCTTAAGAACCACAGCGTCACCAACACAAATAAAACTTTAGGCTGTATTCACGGAAAGTCTGTGATGCCTTTATTCCCTCCCTTTCCTTTCTCTCAGAGTTCATGAGTGTTTTGAGTTCAATAAATAGTACAAAAATAATCCTTTATTTTAAAATCTCCAGATGCATTGTCCTAGATCCTATACAATAAATTTGTAAGAGCAATGAACTTTTTTAAAAAAAGGAGCCCACACAAATGAAAACCTTGTGGCAATGGCTATTTTTAGATCCAGCACCTTCTTTCTCTCTGGCTGCAATTTCTGTTCTTCCCTTTAAGGAAAGCAAAATCTTCTTCGCCTTCAACTGCGCTAACTCTTTTCTTGGCTCAGATTAACCGAGTTCAAAACACTCAGCTTAAACCTTTGTGTAAACCTTTCTTCTTTCTTGTGCTTGGAGATCGAACATTCCTACTATTCCATTTGACTGAGTGTTATGGCAGGTTCATTCATCACCTTAACTTCTCCACTCCAGGGCAGCTTTATGTTTTAGAAAGAGAACATTTGCGTCTGAAATGCGTCCTGTGATAGTCACCAAAACCATGCCTGTCACGAAAGATGAACATGAGTTGGGCTCCTGCTGCCTGTGTCATTAGTTGCAATTCTCCCCCGAGTTCAAAGTCGTTAGCATTCTGCATCTACCGTGTGTACCGTCACTGCAGCCTGTAAGTGGTGACTGTGGTGGGGAGCGGGATGGTGCAACCTGTAGTGGTGGAACTTGTGACTCAAAAGGGCAGCAGTCTGAGGTGGGGTCTCCAGGTCTAAATCTTCGTCATGATTTCCCACATCTACACCAGCTGATAATGGGTCATTGTTGCAGGGAGGGTTTTCGCTGTCTTCCTGAGGACTCATAGTACTGTAGCCTGAAAAATAAAGGCACATGAAATCCAAGATGGATTGACTTTGAACAACAATGTTCATAATACTTAGAAGTGATCATTCACATTTATAATTTAACACACTGCAGGAAGGAAAAATCAAAGCCACACAATGTCGACTGTTGCAGGAGTCTTAGATTATTTAAAGAGTTTGATTTCCTTTCTTTCATATTTTTTCTTTGAGTTTCTGATTTTGTACAAAACAAATATCTCAGAACAACATGGAAAGAATGCTGTTACATACAGTATCTATTATTTAATTCTTCTGCCTGAGATAATTTGACTAATATAATTCATTAAATTTTCAAAAGTCAGCTGGGTGACCTTGGGCCAGTCACTCTCTCTCTGACCAATCTACCTCACAGGGTTGTTGTTCTGGTGAAAATAGGAGGAAAAAGGAGTATTAGGCTTGTCTGCTGCCTTGAGTTGCTTCAAGTGATAAAGGCAGAATAAAAATTATTATTATTATTATTATTATTATTATTATTATTATTATTATTATTAACAACTCTTATGCATAAATAAATTCCTGTTTATTTATCTGTCAGGTATACTCAAACTGTCAGGGATTTTTTTTATTTGTTTTTTTTTTGTTTTTTTGGACAACTAAAGAGTATGAGAGTGTATTTATTTCCTCTACCAATGTAGATTTTTCAATGGTTTTAATCAGATTTTTTTTAGTTTTAAATTAATGAATTTACAAGTGCAATAACCAACACATTATAGCATTTATCATACCACTAAAATATATTTTTCCCACTATTAAAATAATTTTTTTGACATATGTAATTGCCAAGTCTTAAAAGGCGGGAGGAATTTTAAATTCAACACAGTCCTGGTAAACATATTTTTAAACAATGCAACTTAAGGATGTTTAAGCAATGCAACGATAATAAAAGTATATACAATACGTTTCAGTTGTAAAAGCTATCCATAGTCAATTTGGAGTAAATAAAGCCTAGCGCTTAGCTGCTTAGTGAAATTCACATTTAAGAGAAAGACACACAAAACTGGCTTGCCCACGATTATTATTACAGTTTGGACTTTTTCTTTCTTTCATGTACCAAGTTTTAATCCATCTTCAAATTGGGAGCTCAATTGGTGACTGGTCACTCTCAGCCTGACCCTTATTGTCGTAAGAAAAAACAGAAGCGACAGCTTCTGAATCAAAGATAGGTTTAAAACTAAGAAATAAGCAAACAAAACATATCCTACTTCAGGTGCATGATGAAAGATAAGCTATTGTATAGGACAATTCCTTTGAAAATTCTTTCACAGTAAACAGTACATGCCATCAGGCTTAGAAGTTCACGTGCTGAGGAGACCAATAACAAAGTAGCACATGATTAATTGGGAAAGCCAGCAATGAACAAATAACTTTTTTCTGCATAGAAAAAAAATGCAAATTGCATCTTATCAACTCCCAGTAAGAAGAAGTGTTTTTTTTATTGTGATGAACTTTCCCAAATTAAATGGAATGGCCCTGATGTCTGTATAATGAACGGTGAGAATAGCTTTCGGAGACAGGAGGAGGAGCTGAACCTTAGACTAATCAATCAGTCTGATAAAAAAAAAAAGTGAGTCCAAAGGAGAAATAGGGATGGAGGAAGTGTCTCAGAAGGGCCCTCCCTGGTTGTCTGGAAAGTAAAGATAGGAAAAGGAGGGGAAGTGCTTTCAGAGCTATAAAATTCTTACTGTAGCCTTTCAGTAAAGGTAGTATTAATACTTATTGTTTTGGTTTCTTCTCTGGACTAACTTGAAGGATTGACAGCTTGTCAGAGCCATGGGGGAATTGAAGGAGAGGGAAAGTTGGCAGTAAGCATAAGTAATGTATGACTCCAGACCAAAAGCAAACAGTATCAATAATTAACAAAATACTGTAGGTGTATGGATCAAACTGTTCCAATTTTTTTTCTTCCTCATCCTTAACTTCCCTGTCTTGTCCTGTAAGTTTGTGCATAACCTACTCTTCTTAGAACGGAAAGTTCCAGAATGTTCTGCCTATGCCATTCTGTTTGCATTCAGTGGTAATTTATACATTATTATTCATTTATTAAATTTTTATGCCGCCCATATCATTATTGAGAGCAACTCTGGATGGCTAAATTAATCCTGAGAACTGGACCTGACTTCCAGAAAAGCTCCAAAATCCATGGGAATGGTCAAATTAGGGTATACCACAGAATAAACATATCCAGCATGTTGGTAGCATGGCCAAACAGAGAGGGAATGGTTTATTTCCTTTTGGCCTAGTGGTTGAAGCATCAAACTAGGCCGTGAATTCAAGTCCTGTTTTAGCCATGAAAGCCAGTTGGTTGATTTTGGGTCTGTCATGCTCTCTCTCAGCCCAACCATCTCTCACAAGGTTCTTATTGTGGGGAAAATAGGAGAAGAAAGATGTGTTGGATATGTTCACTGCCTTGAGTAATTTTTAAAAATAATAAAGATGGGATGTAGATAGATAGGTAGGTAGGTAGGTAGGTAGGTAGGTAGACAGACAGACAGACAGACAGACAGACAAATAGACAGATAGACGGATAGACGGATGGACGGATGGAGTGAGTCACCAAATATAGCTTGACAATTGGATACTACTGATACAGACCATATTTACATGATTACTTTTATTTTATTTATTTGTCATAGTTAAGAACTGCTCAATAGACATTACTGAGCTGGTACAGTAGTTTCCTAATATAGACATTTATTTCCTTTGTAAAGACATTATTATTAATCAGTAGGATTTTCCTCTTTTCCTATACTGCTCTGTAGTTTTAAACATAGTTGTACAGGATGGGGCTGCTGTAAATCAGACTGATTTGCAACAAGCAAAATCACCAGAAATAGAGAAAGCAGTGATCCTTATCAATTTAGCATCATATGAACAATCCAAATTTGGCTTCTTTTCTGAACTTTGCACTTAGCAATCTATGAAGAAGAAGCCACATTGGAGCATACTTTACTATATACTGATCTGAATCAATATCATGAACAGAGTTTCTCTTTGATAAGAGAAATTGTTCTGCATCTGCTGAACAATTTGTTCAATACTGTAATTGAGACAGTGATGTTATAACGGAGAAAACAACACCAAAATAAATAGCAATTTAAACTCCCCTAGGGGAACTTATTGGAGCTTCCTTTCATCTTAGCTGATGCTATAAAGCCTTAGTCTGCCTTAGTTATTGATAACATTGACTGGAAACAGCACCATTAAAATCTAGAATTCTAAAATGTATTTTAGCCAATTGTACCTCTGCTTTGTGAGGTTTTCAATCACCGCTGCAAAAAGTGCAAAAAATAAATGCCCCAAATGTGTAAAATTCAGAATATTCCCATCATACTGAACCGTGCCATAAAAATCTATGTGCTACTACGACTCTCCTGTTTGTAATCTTCGGTTAGCCCAAAAGGTGCATTATAGCACAGAAATCTTTGAATCAAATTACCCCAAATCTGCTAACTTAAATAATATGTACAAATAATACCTTGGGTCCATAACTCCTGTGTAACTAAACTTTCAAGGATTTTCACAATAGTTGTATTTGCAAGGTTGTAGGTGCTGCAGCATTGATGTAGTCGGTCATGATCACATAATCATGATCCTTGATGCGCCCTGCTAGCTTCCTACAAGCAAAGTCAATGGGGAAGCTGGCAGGAAGTCGGAAGATGCTTCCACTCCCATTGCTTTTTTTGCCCTCCCCTGGTCATTGTGTTTATCTATTTAGGTAAAGAATGATCTCTGAAAGGGTGACCCAACGGTTCATGGGTAGTTTGTGATTTTGTTTTTACCCTTCGAAAGAGAAAGGTGGTTTAGAAATGTGAAACATAAACAAGTAAATAAATAATTTTGTGTGCTTAGTAAAATTAAGAAAGAGTAAATAGATTTCCAAAGTAAAAAAATAAAATAAAAAATCACACTCTGACAAAATGTAATAAATGCCAATTTAGAAGTCTACAAATTCAATTGGATATGTGATAGCGTAGCATTCTCCAACCTTTTCTGCTTGGTGGACTGGTGGAGATGCCGGTGACAGTCGGGAGAGGAGATGGTTTTACCCTTGTGCATTCACCGCTTTTGCAAATGTGGCTTCACTCATTTGCACATGAGCATGCACACACTCGCCCACCACTTCTGCAGCCGAGTTCTGAACAGGCCACGGCCTGGCACTGGGTCGCGGACCGGGGCTTTGGGGATCCCAGTGATAGTGCAATTATGTGAATTGCATAAGTGCAGCAAATTTGTAAGTAGGGAAACATAGAGTCCTATATTAAATATATACAATTGCCAGCATGTTGGCTGGATAATTCTGGGGAATGAAGTCCATATATCTTAAAGTTGCCCAGTTTGAAAAACTGTAGTCTCTTGCATTGACATTAATAGTTATATTTACTTTTATGCAACAGAACTCTTTCCAGTTGTTGCCTCTAGATTTAATTCTGTTTTGGTTTCGCCCAAATGCTGACATTTTTTTTTTAAAAGCATGATAGGAAAACAAGTTGCATTAAACATAAAGTTAATTCAACAAAGCTTTTGAAACAATTTGACACCTATTATGTTATTAAATGCAAAATAATTGTGGTAAAGCAGGAAGAAGGACTGTAATTCTAGTAACAGCAGATAACGAACATTTTAACCTTTGTATAATGACTCAACTACAGCCTCCAATCTTCTGCAAATAAAAGGAAGTAAGCAAAAGAAAAATAATCACAATGCCAGCAGCCCCAAGAGGCATTCAAAGAGACATTCCAATGTTGGCACAATCTGAATCTCTGGCTATTGTTTAAAATCTCTGCTTCTCTATGTTACTTGGAAGGAAATACTGAGGAAAGGAAATTATGCAATGCATTAGGTTATTTCAGATAATAATGTTACAATCACGTGTAATGTACAGGAAAATTTGTCAAGGAAATATTATTGTCTAAGCTTCCGTGAAAAGTGTTTGTTGGAAACCAACCAACCAACCAAGGTTTGACCGCTTAGTTATTAGGAACCAACTGCCAGTATTTATGTGATTTAATTTTTTCATTTACAGGTAGTCGTCAACTTACAACAGTTCGTTTAGTGACCGAAGTTACAACAGTACTGAAAATTGTGACTTATGACCATTTTTCATACAACCTTGCAGCATCCCCATGGTCATTTGATCAAAATTCAGATGTTTGGCAACTGACTCATATTTATGACAGTTGTAGTGTCCCAGGGTCATGTGAACACCTGTTGCAACCTTCTGACAAGCAAAGTCAATGGGGAAGCCAGATTCACTTAACAATCGTGTTACTAAATTAATGACTTCAGTAATTCACTTAACAACTGTGGCAAGAAGGGTTGTACAACGAGGCAAAACTCACTTAATAAACGTCTTGCTTAGCAACAGAAATTTTGGGCTCAATTGTGTGTTGTAAGTCAAGGACTACCTGTACTCTTATGGCCTAAAGCATGATTGTTTTTATATACAGTATTTAATGTTGCCATAGAAGCATAGCATAGCATATACATGTTTGTTTGTTTTTATTTTTAACTAGCTGTACCCGGCCACGCGTTGCTGTGGCTCAGTCTGGTTAAATGGAAAAGAAAGAAAAGAGAAAGCGCACGTTTGTAATATGTTTAATTTCACAATGCTTTTATGTCCAACAGATGGCGCTGTTTTTTTAAAAAAAAGCATTTTTACCTGTCACAGGTGTGACATCTATATAATAGTAGGTATATAAAAACACGCGCGTATTCGAATGCAACGTTGTGTCAAAATTTCAAAGCAATCGGTGAAGAACTTTTGGAGATTTAAGATTTTGAACAAACGAACATTTACATTTTTATTTATATAGATGGTTCTATTGAACAAAATTCTGTATCTGATTAACACATGAAGGCTTTCAAGTCTGGCTAGGGTAGAGCTGCCATTTTTCTCTTTAAAATTATGAAACTTGTCACTGGGTACTTTAAAAAAATACTTTCTACATTCTGCCTTTCTAATGTCATTTTTATATTAACCAGAAATATCATAGAGTTGCAGTCCTATGAAAGATATAAGGGCTTGTATGTTTCAGTCAGGGGTCACTGCCACATACTGAGTGAACTTCTAGAAACATTCAAGGACTCCAGGAAATCAAATACAAACTCTTCCTTCTGTCCTGGCTGTGCATTTAGTGTATCATACTGTATTTATAGTGAAAGTGATATGAAGATACAGCTGACAGCCCTGGCAAAAAAAATATATGCCAATCTCACATTAATCCTCTTAGTGGACTCATCAACCTGATACAGGATGAAAGATTTAGCAACAACTGTCCAGTCTGACTGGTGATTGGTCAATTATGTGGTAAAAAAGTCATTCCCAGCCTGCATTGTAAGTTATTTTTTAATTTAGGGAGAAATGTCACAAAAGCCCAAATCCTATTTCCTTAATCATTTTATTTCTGTGTGAACCAAAGGAGAACTGTGTTTGCAGTAATTCTGTCTGTCACAAATCTTCTTATGAATCATAATGCATATCAGTAAGCCAAGAAGGCATTCAACCTTTTAAAATTTAACCCAGGCTTGTTTTAACCTAGCAACAAGAAATAAACTCTTGGTATCTATGGCTTAAAAGTAAACACCATTTGATTAAAATAAAAAGAAAAGAAACAGTGTTATTCTTTATCAAGTAGAGCAAAGTTAATGGTACAAATATTAAAATAAATTTCAAATGACCCTACTGGGAAAAGGGGGGATTTAATTTTTGTAAAACTTTACTTTTTGTAAGGGTGCATATTCATATATCAGTGTTGATATATCAGTGATTAAGATGCTAAGTGGAGGAATGAAACGAAAATAGCTTCAAAGTTGGCAAGGGCCTTGCCCTGGAATGGAAAGCTTCAAATTTGTTTTAAATGAAGAACAGCCCTGGGATTACTTTCTTAGAAAATATGTTATATTGTAAGCACAAGCAAGATGAGCGGCCTTTATGCTCTTACCATGATCACTTTCTGTTCCTGATCGTCCCCAGTAGCGGCGTCTACGTTCAGGACTGTGGGCATGTCGCTCAATAACTGCTGCTATAAACCGAGTGTTACTGACTACAATGAGCGGAACAAAGAAAAAGAGAGAGAGAAATAAAGGATAACTTCACATACTCATCAAGCAGATCACTTTGAAGACATTATAAAATAGCTTCTTATTACATTGTTGTCAAATTCCAAAACTGATCAAGCTTCTAAAACCAGTATGAAAGAACAGTAACTTTTTTGATTCCCAGACAGCATTGTAAATTACTTAGAATCAATTCGGTAACAAAATGCACCTAAGGTATTTAAGGTGTACTTTTAATATACCTTAAATACTTTATAAAGGTATCTTAAAATGCAATATTGTTTTGCAAAACTGCAAAAAAAAACCCTGCAAAATTGCAAATCTTAGCAGTAGTTAAAACACAGGAGCATCTATAGAATCATAACTGTGGGTTTGATCACTACATTTCCCTACAATTTTCAAAGTTATTTGAAAGTTATTTATTTGCAAGAGGTGGGTGGGTGGATCTTATTTAAGAATGAACATTATACAGTTCTTGAAAGTGAAGTGAAGAAATCTGCAACTCAAAAGGCTGCTAGATTTTATGAACTGTCATCTAAGAATTGTCTAAGTCTGGATGACACAAATATTGATGTATGGCATATTTGGTCTTCAAAAGAAAACAGAAAGATAGCAAGTGGTGGAGATAAATAATGGACCAAAGGATAAAGCCCTGCTCATAAATCACAGAGCTAAAATCTCTGTGAATTGGGTGTGAGCAAGTCAATATTTGTTTACAGTTACGTTCAGTCTGTGGAAAGGCAGCAATATACAGCCTTTCTTCAGAACTCCTGCCAGACTGACAGGGCCAAAACTGTAAAGCACTTTGCCCTCTTGAAATGATTACAGAGGTGAATAATGCTACACATCTATAGAAGGAAAGATTGCAGGGAGAAAAAAACCCCCACATGCAGCCTATCCCCGTGTTTTCCTGCCCAACTCCAACCAGAATGGGATTGCTAAATACTCACTGATTCCTCTGTCTTCATGACTGTCCTCATCCCTTTCATCTCTCTCATTCTCCAGGTTGGACATGCGGACTGACATTTCTACACACCATTACAAACAGAAAAATGCAACTATTAAGAGAGAGAAGTTGCATTAGCCTGTAAGAGTGCAATGTTTTGAAAATGGCCTTGGGTTACCCCTTTTTGAAGGACAAAGTAGCAGAGGCCTGGAAACCATATAGCAGTGGTGGCGAACTATGGCACGGGTGCCAGAGGCAGCACTCAGAGCCCTCTCTGTGGGCACGCGCACCGTCGCCCCAGTCCTAGGCCTTCAGCTGGGTTTTATAAAACCTTTTCGCTTTAGGCCTCCACCACTGTGTACAAAAAATAAGGTTCAATCAATCAGTCAATTTCAACTTCTCATGGGGAAAAAAAAGATCTTGCAAAGTTGGAATTGATTGATTGAACTTTTTAGTCTCACCCAGTCTGCTGTTACCACTGCAGCCACGCCCACCAATGGGCCACGCCCACCCAATGGGCCACACCCACCCGGCACCCGACGATGCATAAGTGGGTTTTGGGTTGCAGTTTGGGCACTCGGTCTCTAAAAGGTTCGCCATCATTGCCATATAGCAATTATGGTTGAGGTTATGGCATAAAATTGTTAGCTTCCCTACCTTTCCCTTCTCTTTTAAGCCAAGCAATATGTGGGTACTATTTAAGTGTAAAATATGTATGACTCAGCAATATTTATAAAATTCTGTGAAGTAATAGCCATCCAAAGTCGCTGTAACTATGAGATGGGCAACATATAAATTTAATAAAAAAATAAGTAAAGAAATAAAAACGGCTCCGGGATCCCTGATATTCTGAGCTTGGTTGCTTGCAGATATTTGTTACCCAACTAGGTAACAATATCAGTGCACAATCAGGTGCAACAACCAGTGCATAATCAGTACAATAACCAAGCTGAGAGAGTACTAAGGACTCCACAGTTCAACTCTGAGCTACATATATTCTCTTCTATGGGAAATAATAGATCTTTTAGAAATGTTAGAAAGTGATGACCACGGTTAAACATTTTCCTTCCATTTATGGCAACGCTTTCATAATTCCTGTTTTTCCAATTATTTGTACAATGTCAGTTGATATTTTCATGGAATTACACAAATCAATGCTAGAAAAGGGCTACAATTATAATCAGCAGTAATATGCTCTATTTTGAGTTTTATTATTAAGAAGGCAAAATGCTAAACAGTGAGATTATATAATGTGTTTATATAAAAGGATGTACCTAGAAAATGCCATTTTGTCTTCTGTACAATTGGAGCAAAAACGTGGATTTAGAACTTCTTAAAAATTACTAAATGTGTTGATAAAGGATCCACAAGGCAATGCACATCTATCCTGGAAAGCTAACTGCATATCTAACATGCTCTAGAATCAGCAGAAGGAATAAATATTTACAAGATTCCAGGACAGGCTTAATAAAATCAGTGCAACTTTAATTTCTTTATCCAGCAGAGGGCAGTGGTGCCTATTCTATATTACCAGAGCAATGTGAACAAAATATATTCTATAGGACATATGCTTATAATTCAATTTGAGATTATCAGAAAATTTGCACACATTCAAAGAGTCAGGACCAGAAAACATTGTAATTCTACTCCATAAGCAAAACATTTGTTCAGCTTACCTTGGGCTGCAAGTGGAGACATATGCTGATGACTTCTGCGATGGATCTGATGACGATAGGCATAGACCGCAAGAACCAACACCATTATGCATCCCATAATACCTCCTGCTACAGGACCAACTGGAGCACTTTTTATCATATTCAAGGTTATCACTTCATCTCCTTTCATTTCAGAGGGAGAAAAAAAATGAAAGTCATGTGAAAATCTCCTAAAGAAGTTCAAATCCTGTAAAATAATCTAGATAATTGCTAGATTATGGGTGCTACCTGAAGTCTAACTTTGGGTGACAAAGACACTCTGAACAGGAAATGCCAATTTTCAAAACAAGCCGAGTGACCATTCCACTGCTCCATTTAATATATTAAAATGTTTATGAATACAGTAAATTCCTATCCTAATCAATACACCAAAATGGCATTTCCTCTTACAGACTGCATGGGCTAGAAAGCATCTCTTATACAGGATTAATCCAATATATTCTGCTTCCCCAGGTAAAATTCTTTTATGATAAAAAGAAGCTAGACCTCAGCTTCACCCTGCGTGATTCTCATAAAAAGTATGGTTGTTTTTTTTATGTAGATAATCCAGACCAGATCTCAATATATTTTAAAAAATCCAAATAGATCTTACCAATGGATCCCATGTCATCCGTATAGGGGCTTTTGGCACCCACAATACCCCCAAAGCATTCCTTCTGAAGAGCACAATAGGATTTATCAAGGTGAGTCTTTCCATCACTGTCTACCATGCACCACTCACAGTCTAAGACACCAAAACAATCTCTGCAAGATAAAGAAATGGCTGTGAAAACTTACTTATTACAAGATTAAGTAACCCGAGACAAACCAATTTGTGAAATCTGCCTTTTATAGCTAGACCAACAGACAGGTTAGGCTATCTCACCTTGCTATCTCTTTGCTGTCAGTGCAAATTTGCACTTCCAATGAAAAACAAATCTGTCTTTTTACCAGCTAAGCTGTTTTATAAAACAAAATAATGATTCCTTCGTGCTAGATGTGAACCTAATATATCACTTGTCCACTAGTCAGAAATGACACTAATTTTCCTCCATCTTCCTTACTCTCCTTTTCTTGAAAGCGGAACAAGACAATTTCTGTTATTGCTACCAGTGTAATCCTGATTAAAATTTGAGATCTCAAGCAATCATTTCCATACGTCCACCCAAGAATCCCCAAAGCAATGACTCTCTAGCATTTTTTCAGGCTCTAGGTTCAGGCAAGCTGCTCTAATTTAATTTCTTCATTGTTATGGAGGTCACTTTAAAGATTTTGTAACTTTCAATGGGTAGAATCTGAATCTGCAAAGAAGAGGAGCTATATGTTTATTAGGTTAAATAAAAATAAATATAAATTTAACTGATTTCATGGCAGTTTTTATTTTAATTTTACAGGCAGGTAACAAAAATTCTTTATTGACTTCTTTAAGGGAACAAAATTGATGTAACTTACCCACTCTCCATTCTTTGATTACACTGTGTATTGATACACTGAGGAAGAGCATCCTGTAGGCTGGGATCCACAGCAATAAAAGTCAGAGGTTCCTGATGGACTTCACAACTAGGGTTTCTGAAATTTGGAAAGCAGTATGCAAAAATTAGGTTTCAAAAACTCACTCAATGGTTATGTTACTTTATTATTTACTTTAACCACCCTTAAAGCAATGTAATTACCCATCTAACACCTTCAACAATATATATTATCATAACATTATTAATAAGTTGTTAGCTTTGCATACCTGCTTTCTGCATTGGTAAGGTTGCCTGTACATTCATTGACTTCTAAAGGGCACTCACAAGGGCATTCACATTCATTCTGTTCCATTCTTCAGGAAGAAAATAAATAATATTTATTACCTCCTCCTACTCCCTGCATATCTTGAATCTTGGGCCACAAAACAATTTTAGTGTCAAATAGGACCAATAGTGTTGTTTACAAGTTATATTGAGCTTATTACTAGCACAACTGTTGGCAATATATGTAAAGAGTCCTTTCCACATTTTACAAAGTTTTCAAAGTCCATAGTCATTACATTACAGCACAAACAGGGTATTAAGACTATTACTCCACTACAACTATGGTGATTTCATGTGAAGTAGCATGTAACTATTACAATTAGTAGTCATTAGCCTGGAGGAAGCGTTGTCCATGGGGTTGCAATGCGTTGGACACGACTTCGCAACTAACAACAACAACAAGTCATTAGTAGTCTCATTTTCATTTTCAAGTCATCTTTTAATATCTCAAGCAAGTAGTAGCACCAAAATCCAGAATTTAATTTAGCATTATCTACAATCTCTCATCATTCAGCTTTGTAAATTCTCTGCATCCTGTTTCTTCCTCTCACCAGGCTTATTTTCATTATGAGCCTTTTTACTTTTTAAAATTAAACAAACCTAAAGGTTGTCTTTTCTATTTTTTTCCCTCTGCAATATCATTTTTGATACACGATGACCAAATCTCACCACCAGAATAGTCCAAAGATCTTACCCTGGTGGTAAGATGGCAGCCAATAAATTTTACACATAAATAAATAAAAGCACCATACATTATAGATCACCTGTCCACAGTATAGGAAGCATTTCCACTGTTTTGAGGGAAATGCATAAAACGTGATCCTGAACCAGACTTAACCTGTCACCTAAACCAGATTGACTGAATTAATCCATTAGATCAGGGGTCCTCAGTCCTCAACCGTGGCAACTTTAAGACTTATGGACTTCAACTCCCAGAATTCCTCAGCCAGCTTTGCTGGCTGAGGAATTCTGGGAGTTGAAGTCCACAAGTCTTAAAGTTGCCACGGTTGAGGACCCCTGCACTAGATTATTTACTCAGAAATAATATATAGTCTGAAAGCATTTCTGGGTAGAGGCAGGTGGGAACTCTTTGTTGTCAAAGAAACTACGTTGAGGTAACAAGCAATCTCTAATTCAGCCCTTTTGGTTCCTATCCTGAAAAATGGCCACAGCTCGTGTGCTGACTGGCAGGCTGTCCTCCAGATTGTAACTGGTTTCCGCTACACACAGCTCATCTTTGGCCCACAGAAGTGCAGCTATAGCTTGATGACCCAATAGCTATCCAACAAGGAGGTTAGGTTAGATATGTGATAGCCCTGCTCCTTCAAAAGAAAGTATAGCCCTGTCTTCTAAGATAACTGTAACAAAAAAGAAAGCAGTCTGTAAACTATACAACAGGTCTAGTGACTGAAGGTGCTGGCCTAGAGAGCAGGAGAGTGTAAATTCTAGTTCCGCTTTAGGCTTGAAAGCTGGCTGGGTGACTTTGGACAATCATCCTCTCTCAACCCAACTCACCTCACAGGGTTGTTGTTGTGAGGAAAATAGGAGGAAGCAGTATTAGGTACATTCATCACCTTAGGTTACTTGTACAATCATAAAAATCCAATACATATACATAAAAAATATGACTATTCTTCTGGAAGAAAGCAGGAGAGTCTGCTGGACCCCATAAATCAGTAGTTCTCAACCTTTTTAATGCCGCGACCCCCAACCGGTTGTAAGTCGAGGACTAAACCGGTCGTAAGTCGAGGACTAAACCGGTCGTAAGTTGAGGACTACCCAACCGGTCGTAAGTCAAGGACTTTCCCTGCCCGGGAGCGCCGCGCATGCGTGGTTCCGCCCCCTGCGCTGGCCGAGGCATAGCTGGCAAGCGGCAGAGACGGAGCAGGCCGGCCACCAGCTGGCCCAGCCCAAGGGAGGTAAGGCACCCGCCGGAAAAGGGAAAAAAATTGCGGACAAAAAAATGGCGGACAAAAAAAATGGCAGACAGCCTTGCTTGGCGACCCCCATGAAATGGTCGATCGACCCCAAATGGGGTCGCGACCCATAGGTTGAGAACTGCTGCCATAAATCAAAATGTCAAAATGACCAGGTATAGCCAGAAATGTTTTGCTTCTCCCTCACACAGAATACTGAGCTGTACCTTACATAGTGAATAAGTAATCTGCCTAGGCATTTTGTAAATAAGACTTAACATGCCTGTGGAGTCACATGCTGCTTCATTCAGCTACTGTAAACCTAATGCACATTAACTTGAGGCCCTGCAATCCCTCCATTTTAAAGAAGCACAATCCGAAGTATAATCCAATCATGTCTCACTTCAAATGTCTTCTTACCTGTGACAGTTCAGACAGAGCCTGTCTACCATACTGCAGGCACAGAAAGCAAGTGAGTCACAGGTTTCATTTACTATTCCAACAAAGGCATTGGTTCCAGGTATTCTTGTCAGCCTGTATTTAGAACAGTGGCTGCCGTGCACAAGATTTGTCAGATCACCCTAGGGGGAAGGAAAACACATCAGACATGTGGCAGAAAACATGTTTCCCAGTGAAGCGAAGTGTTCTTGTTACGACAAATGTTATCTGCTAGACTGTAAGCCTACACTGTCCCCTAAATGAACTCTCATCAGCAATCAATACTTCAACACACAAATTATCCCAACCAGATAAAAATGTACATAAGCTGTAGGGAATAAAAATTTCTGACTAAAACGTTATAATTTAACTGGATGTCAGTTTGCTATGGGTGAGCAAGCATGGAATATACCTCTCACATTTGTTACCCTTTTGAAAACAATTTTTGCAAACCGAGAAGAAAAAAATCATGAGGCCCTATCACAGTGGTGGCAAACCTATGGCACGCATGCCAGAGGCGGCACTCGGAGCCCTCTCTGTGGGTACATGCACTGTCGCCCCAGCCCCACCTCCTCCCACAGCCCCCTCCTCACCAGCAGCCCCCCGGAGGAGAGTCGCCCCCGGGCATGGCCCACATGAAGCAGCGCAGCCAAGGACATGGTAGCCGGGCAGCAGGGACAAGACTCCGCCCTTGCGCCCCGTCGTGCGCAGATGCTGCTGCGAGGCACAGGTGGAGGGCGTGGCCGCCATGGCACTGTGGGGCTACCTGGGTGATCTGTGGTGGGCCGTGGAGGTGGTGGGTAGCCCAGTGAACACGGCGGAGCGGGGACAGGGGTGGGGGTGGTTTTTGGGCACTCGGTCTCTAAAAGGTTCGCCATCACTGCCCTATCACCATCTGGCTAGCAAGTTTCTGATTCAAACAATAATGTTGAAACAGCAAATCGTCTATTACATTGTTCCTCCCAACGTTCCCAATCATTAGAGAGAAGGAAGAATTAGAGTCAGTGGCTGGAATACACTTATATTTCAGATGCAAGGACAAATGTCCACTCGTCCATTAATGAACTCAAATAATAATACAACGATTATTCCAGAGAGTCACATATCCCATTTCAGCTATGTATCCAAGCAGTCTGTTGGATCCCAGAAAAAGCTCCCAGCAACCTGTTCTTCATAGTGGCCAACCTCCTGAGATGTTTACATAAGGTCTACAGCAGCCTCCTGCTGCTGCTTTCTTGCCACAGTTCATTAGGACAAGGCTCCTCTGATCTTGGAAGACTGCATGTGATCATCATGAATAACTAGTACTTTTTTTCATTTCAAGTTATAAAATCCTTAGTGCCTTTTCTAATAGGGAAAATGTACCAGCCCTCTCATAATTTCAATTCACTTTTTTTTTTTTTTTTTACTTTTTCTAGTTTTGGAACAAACTTTGCACTGCAGTAAAAAAAAAAAAAACCTGAGCACACTATTTTAAATGTTGTTCCCATTATAGATTTGCATAGTTAAAGAATATTGCGTTTGCCATAGGATACTATCTAAAGTATTAAATCTATGGTTTTCTATGCCTTGCTAACTTAATGCACTTTCCCAACTGAATGCCCTCTATAGGAGTTCCGTATTACCAGTCTTGTAGGCTATTGTATGGAATGACATCATGAGGTATAATTTCCATGTTCCCAAAAGTGCATGGAAAGCATGAAGATTGATAACATGCTCAGGTTTCTGTACTGAAAACTTCTTTTTTTGCCCCATCCCTGCAGCAAAGAAACACCTCCGTTTCAGCACTGAAGCTGCAAAAACCAATGCAAATCCAAATTCACTGTAATTTGCTAGTAGTGTTTTTCAAATTTTGGTCACTGACTGGGATAAAGCAGACTGCCTAAAAGTTCATCCATAATACTTATGGATTTAAGATGTATAAATAAAGTGCCCCATGATCTACATTCATAGTATTAGACCAATGCTGCAAAAGCGCTTGTTATACTGTCTCTGGTACAAGTTAAATAATATTCTATTTAAATATAAGCAGTTTAAAGACTCGGTTATATTCTATAACATACCATCAGGCTAGTATTAAATTTATAAAATCTCTGGACGGTTCTGTCACTGAAACTGTTACACAAATTTTTCTTCACAAAGTTTGGATGATTTAGGATATCATTTGCCACAAGAGGTTCCTACAAATAAAAAGTAAAAGACTGTTAATAGTGTCATAATTTTACAAATATCAGCAGTGTTATTTCTCTTCTTAAACTGGCAGTTCTATCTATGCAGAAACAGTACTTGAGTTACAACGGAAATTGGGACTGGAATTTCCATCACTAAGCAGTGTGGTTGTAAAGAACAACATCACACGATTGCATCACTTAGCAACAGCATACTGGCAGTTCTGGTTGCCATCATAACCCCAGGACCACATGGGGTTTTTGTAGGCAAGCAGGCCAGTGGATGCATGGAGGGGCAGGGGACACTGTGAGCAGCTGCTTCGGAGTGTCACCTGATGCTGTGGGAGATCAGGATATGCAGTGGGCAGGCACTATGGAGCACAGGCAGACAAAAACAGTGGGAGCAGGAGCGACTTCTAACTTTCAACTGACTTCCCCATTCACTTTGCTTGTGGGAAGCAAGCATGGATCATGAAGAGCTTCCAGTGAACATTACTCGCAACGGAGGATTGGATGGTGAAAAAGATGGAACTTGCCAAGATGGCCAAAGATAGTTCTGATCAGAGGAAAGACGTTATTTGAATGTATTGCTGACTGGAAATCCTTCATAGACATTTTGCATGAAGCAGAACAAAATGAATGCATAGTATATGGCTTTGATGATTAGAAAAAAATAGATTAAAGAAAAAAATGAAAGCGATGGTGCAACCATAGAGCAAGAGGTAGATTTATACTTATACTGCTGTAAAGAAAATTAGAAACTACTTCTTATGTTTTCTTTTTTCCTTTTTTCTGCAATTTCCCTTTTTTCTTTTATTCTCTTTAAATATCAATTTTGTTAGTTTTTACTTGTATTTATTAAAATTTCAATAAAATTATATTTTTAAAAAAGTGATCGTGATCACATAATCGTGGCTTGCTGTCATAATTGTGAGCTGGCCACCAAAGCACCTAGACCACAATCACATAACTGTGAGGATGCTGCAACAGCTGCAACTTTGCAGACTTGGTCATAAGTCCCCCTCATTTAGTGCTGTTGTAACTTTGAACAGCTGTTGAATGTGTGGTTGTAACTCAAGGACTACTTATATATCAAAACACCATGGTGCAGGCAAACCTTGTGTGTGATATGTTGTTGTTCTACTGGAGCATGACCTTTCGGATCAATAAGAGTTGGATGTGCCACAAGATATCCTCTGTCTTCCATAATAAAACATCTATCAAAAAGCAAACAGTAAAAGAAATCATAGATCAGAATACATGTATTATTAGGTAGCAGGGTGTACAGTTTGCCAAACAAGCATGTGCATGAAAAACATATGTATTTGTTTATCTAGACCAGGGGTCCCCAACCCCGATCCGTGGACTGGTACCGGGTTGTGGCATGCCAGCAACCAGTCCGCACAAACAAGTAAAACCCCATCTGTGGAAAGCAGGCAGCACAAAAAATCACGCTCCCTCTGGTCCGTGGAAAAACCTCTCTCCACAGAACCGGTCCCTGGTGCTCAAAAGGTGGGGACCTCTGATCTAGACATTCCATTTAGATGCCACCCAACTCCAATCAATTCTTGGATACTCACAACAATAGAGCAACACAGAAAGAACAAAATACAAAAACATAACCCAGGAAAAGGAATTAGGGATTGTAGAAATACACAAAAGGTTGCAAGTTCCAAATTTCTGAAGCGTAGAACCTCTTTTCCAAGTGTTCCTAATTTATAACAAAGACATTATTTTGTTCTCAACTGCCAATTCAGCAGTAGAGCTTTGTGTGTTACAAGAGCCCTAAGACTGACTTCTAATGAACTTCAGGGTTTTTAAAGACAATTTCTAAAATGCATTGCACTGCCAAATTATAGTTGGCTTTCTATTTTTGACAGTTGTTGCAGCCAAGGCCAGTTTCAACATGGAAAAAGTAGACACTACATTCAGATGAATTTGAAATAAAGTTCTCCCAATTCTAAAGCCATATAGAAATATTATTTGAGTGAGGAGGACTGTGATGTTCGTTGGCTATATTAAATTTAATTTTCGCTGGATTCAGTGTTATTTCACATTCCAATAGTGGAACACTTAGAGTATGTTGGGGTCTTGTTTGACTGGAATTACATCACTTGAAGTAGTTCAAATGTTATTCCAACAAAAGTTCAGAATGGGGTTGCTTTTCACTAAGGCTGAAATAAAATATCCCCTAAGGCAAATGCATGTAAATTACAGAATTTTGTGCCAAGCAGTGAAATAATTTTCCAGCATGAGTTTCTAAGATTAATCCTCTGAGAAGAACTAAAGATACCATAAAGCCATATCAATCAAGTTTCACTTATCCCAAGTAGCCTAGGAAGATATTAGATTCAGTAGTGGCGAAAGTAGTTGAGAGGTCTAATAATCACATCAACCCACATTTTTTTGTCCAGTCATTAGGGATTATTGTATCACCAAAGTGACCCAAACAGCTTCTGTTCCAGAGCTACATCTAAAATCATATTGAAATATTCTACTTTATCCAAAATGCCAGCCATCAGATGAGTTATCCTAAATTTTGCAAATTTTGCATTATCTTTCACTAAAGATGGAAGACAACAGCAGAATTTTCTTTTTTCTTTTTAATCAATCAGCCTGGTGCTCATAACTCATAAAACTGTGGAAAAGATACAGAAAAGATCTATGTATCCCTTTTATATTCCATAATTTCATCAATCATCTTGCAATCTTACACACTTAGCATGGAAAGAAATGGTTAATATTTCTGAGTAGAGCGGCATTGTAAGCGTAATTTTATCAGGAAAATACTGATTTGTTTTGGAGGACTTAGTGGGGGTTAAAAGGGAAAGGAGAATAGTTTGCTTCCCAATCTGTTCCAATCTTTAATCTTATTTTGCAAAAAAAAAAAATTCGTACCATGATCAAGAACACAATCTCAAACTGCTGTGCTTGGCAAGAGGGCAAATAACTTGTAGTCAATACAAGTAGTCAATCTATACAAGTCCAACAGCATAGGTTGCTTCTGGAGCCCGAGATATATAGTTCTACATGATCTTTCATTCTAGCTTTCCTTGCTAGATAATTGCATTCTCTCTTCTTCTTTTACTATTTGTCTTGTCTTCAGCATCTATTTCTTCTCATTGTTCAATGTACTTCATTTCCTCCAGCTCAGATGATAGATGGGCAGAAGCAAGGAGGTAATATACCTATGGACAATAGGCTGGGACAAAGGGACCTCTGGAAGTGATTAATGCTGATCATTTAATGCATTGATGAAGGAGGAAACGATCCCATTTCTTGGTCAAACTGGAAACCAAGCACTTCTTCAGATCTGAATATAGGTCATCTCAACATCTGTTTTTGTTCATTTATGCATGTAATTCTTCAATACTTAAGGTGTTTCCCCATTTTTTCATCCTTGTGCAATATTCATTTTTGTCTTCCAATTTTATATACCTATCAAATATACCCTTAAATATTTCAGAAATCAAACAATCTCTTGATTAGAAAAAGCAAATATCACTGAAAACTAGTTGATTTCTGAATTGAACTGCAAGCTATTTGTCTTCTTGACACAGATTAAAAGACTTTCTTTCAGAATTAAGATTTTGACTATTTTAATTTTTCTCCTAACATCTAGAATTTCTGTCAGGCTTAATGGCATCAAACTGTAGTGTAGTAAATGGAAAGAATACACACACACGCAAAGTATAAAATTAAAGCAAAGGGATTGCATATCATTTTACCTTATTTTATTGCCTCCGTCTTGGTTACAAACTGGTAACAGGTCCATTAGTACTTTGTAGAAATATCGCAGAGTAAAATCAATGCCCATCACCGCAACAGAATGGCCAGAAGACACCTGTGAGCTACAAACAAGCACAAAGAGGACCTCTTGAGAGACTAAGAATTAAGAAAATAGCCAAAATATTGCTTAGAAAAGGGAATTTAAAGGAGTAAGGACTCTGCAAATTATATATAGCCTTTTAACCTTGGACTTTCACAAACAATAGGAGCAAGCATTCATAACTTAATTCATCTCAGCAGATTCTCCTGCAGAGAACAAAAGAAAACAAACAGAAACTTAACAGAAACAGCTTTGTCTGGGTCCTGATTATATGCGCATGTGTCTGTATGCATTCATGCTACTGTATACCATTCAAGGTGGCAATCAAGAGAAAACCAACTATAAAATAAAATCAGAGAAAAATAAAGAGCAAGAGGAAAAAGCAATTGCAAAACGCAATATAGTAAACAACAACAAAAAAGAGGAGGCAGGTACAACAGATACGAGTCCTGCCCTGCAATGCTCTGGATTTTCCTTAGAAGAGGCGCTTCAGAATACATTGCAGAGGAACAATCAGCTTCTGGATTGTTCCTTAAAGTCTCTGTGGGATATCTCCCCCCCCCCAGAATGATGAGGCTCCTACAGGGAGGCATTCTCTACAATTACATGATCCCAGAAAAAGATGCAGATGCTTTAAAGAGCTATAGTCTGGTGCTGTAATTGCTCTCCTATGTATTATATTCTGAAACACATCTTCCAAATTAAATCTGAAACCATACACAATTCTACAATCGATAGCATGCTTATATCAGCAGTAAGCAAACGGAAAGCTTTTAAGTAATCCATAAAAGACCTCCAGGGATGGCACCAACGTTTGAAGCAGAAAATTCATCAATTTGGCTGCAGTCGCAACATGTTGGTATGCAGTGGCTAATTTCACATGACAATCTAAGCTACCAATCTGTTTAAATGTATCTTCAATTAACCAACCTGCTAGACTGCAAGTTCAACATATTGCAATAGTTTACCAACCACATTATGCTAAGCCAAAATCAAATAAATAGCTTAGTGGGATGTATGTATGCATTTTTTTCAGTAGGCAATATTATAAAATTCAGCTGATGAGTCAAGATGGAAAATAGTAAATTAATCAACTGAGATGAAATACTATTTGGCAAGTTTTCTTCACCTTTCTTTCTTTCCTTCTAATCATACCTTAAAATATTACTTACATGAGATATGTCACTAATTTTCTTTAAAATTGAATTAAAGTTTCAGTTGGCCAAATTTTTCTCAAGTGAATCAAGATTTTATGATTAGTGATGCGTGTCCTAATGCAAATTAGAATTTTATACCTCTCATCTCTTCAGTCTTATACATTTAACAGTATATCAGCATGTTGAGCAGAATATTATTTTATTTTTTTTAACTTGGGTATCACACTGTTGTGCACTACATTTCTTAATTTAAATCAAAATCCTGGCCAAATTATTAGCAGGAAATGCTCAATTGACACATTACTTAATGTGAATAAAAGGAGGACAGGATAAGAATAAACAAGGAAAGTGGAGATATAATTTTAGGAATTCTCAAGAAACTGTACAAGCATGCATTTTCCAGAATGCTTTCTACAGCTAAATGAAAAGTTATGCAGGGGAAAAAAACAAAGTACATTTAATTTAATGAAAAGCCCCACTAAAAGAAGATAAGGACAAACCGAACATTTGCATTTACTGGATTATCAAAATCTAACAGAAAAAGCATTTTGTGGCACTTTAAAAAAATCTGTACTACAATTTATTTAGTATTCTCTGGCAATGCACAGAATTCTCATTTCAGAAAACCTTATTTTCAGCATCCATTTTTCTCTTGTATAAATAAGTATATACACGAGAAGCAAAACAAGAGTTCTGTTTATAGCACTTTTAATTCGAAACCTGATCCTTTATCTAAACCATATAAAAATACAACACAACTGCTTTGTCCAAGTTGTAAGGGTGACTGACTTTTAGCTTTCCTGAAATTGGTACTGGTCTTCATTAAAATAAGAGCGATGGCAGATAAACTTCAAAAAGAGAAAAGAGCTGAAATGTAAACAAAAAACAAAGCAACAGATACAATCCCAGGGCTCATGACAGCCCTCCAGGTCCCTCACAGCGTTCCAGCAGCTACAGAAATATAGACGCCTTACGTGGGTAGATGCTGTTTAAAGAATCAGATGCTTTTCAGCTTGTGGGGAACTGCATGGCCTTCAGACCTTCTGCCTATTAAAATTCTTCACAGCTTTTCACTTCCTCCCATCACGGGAAAGGGAATATGAATTCCCTGCAAAGATACTAAAAATTCCAAGTAGCTGAAAGGTCAAAAGCTCTGGTTTAGAAATGAATATGGACACCTAATTGCCCATCAAATTGGTTAGGAATTTAGGGTTTAGACCTGAAATCAGCTTATATTCAAATGTTCCTTTAGGGGATAAAATTCGGCTGGGGGAGAAAATTCTCTTTTCTGAGAAGATAATTGTATCAGGATTGCCTTGTCAAACTATTTTTTTTCTCTTTGCAGTAGAGATTAAGGATCCATGCGGGAATGCAAAAGAAAAGTCCTTTTCTGGCAAAAAGATCTAGTTTTTGTATGCTACGCCACGATGCTGTAACACAATTCTGGTGCAATATTATGCATCCAGGATTCTCTCTTAAGCTACCTGAAGGGAAAAAAACAAGATATAATAGAAACTTAAAGGAAATAAAACTGCAGTATGGACAGAAGTGTCTCTAAATCAATGGGAAATAGCTACCCAAGCAAAAAGCTTTACAGTCTTTATATACCTGTAAAACATAGTTGAAATAGGAAATAAATAACAAGGATCACAAGATACACACCCACACATACACACATCCTATAGCCAAAAATCAGGAGGTGCCCCTTTTCAGACTACAGGTTGTCCTCGACTTACAGCCACAATTGAGCCCCAAATTTCTGTTGTTGAGATATTTCTTACATTGGCCCCATTTTACAAACTTTCTTGCCACAGTTGTTAAATGAATCACTGCAGTTGTTAAATTAGTAACACTTCTGTTAAGTGAATCTAGTTTTTCCATTGACGTTGATTGTTAGAAGGTCACAAAAGGGGATCACATGACCCTGGGAAACTGCATAAATATGAACCAATTGCCAAGCACCCAAATTTTCACCACTGTGACCATGGGGATGCTGCAACAATCATAAGTGTGAAAAAGGATTATAAGTCACTTTTTCAGTGCTGTTGTAGCTTCGAACAAGTCACTAAATGAATTGTTGTAAGTCGAGGATTGCACCACACTTTATCCAAGGGATAATAATCTCTTGTGGCGCATCTAATGAAATAAGCTATAGGTCATGACAGCTTAGGACTTTTGATAAAATGTAACTCTCAACCATTGATAGCAACCACCAATTCCTATTCAGCCTGTTTCTCAACTTGGAATGCATGTATCATACACAATTTTACTTGGTTGTGCATCCTCAGCCTCTCTTCCTTCCCTCTCCCCTTTCGGCCTGTAAGTCTATGGCATATTATATCAAATCAGAGCCCAGGCAGAGAATGACAGTACAATAACCAAAGACTTTAAGAAGTAAAGACTATCCTATACACACTTTTACTTTAAGTTCCCTATTTTCTCCTCTGTAAAGTTCTGTGTTTTGTTGTATTCGCTGTATTTTGTTGTTTATAATTTAGGTAGGTTTCACATTGCATTTTTCCCTATGTAAGCCACCACATTGTTTAATTACAGTGACATAGAAATATGCTGGGTAAGTGAATAAATTCCCTGCAGTGGGAGAAACATTTTCCTAAGGCCATTTTTACATGGCATCGTTTTCACTCCCCAATCCCTCCTAAGCATTTCGAAGCCACCAATTTCAGGATGGCATGGGATGCTTTGAGCCAAACAATGTTCCCTCCAACAGCTAAAAGGATAATGCAAAAAACCATCATCTATCAATTTCCTATCCCCTGAGCTATGGCGGTCCCTAAGTAACAAACATTCCCTAACAAGAAGGGATAAAAATTAAATTGCTAGCCTCCATTTTCAATCCATTCAGTATGCATTTGTCTGACTGCTTGGCAAGAAATCTGAGTGGCTGTTGCACAGAACAAGCTGCTTGCCCACTAAATGTCATTCTTCCTGCATATAAATCTCAAGTGAAATCTGTGGCAGTGCTAGGAATTCAAACCATGTTTTTTTTTCATGCCGTGAAATTGAGTAGAAATTAATCAGAAGACTAAGATGTGGCCTCATATAAAATTGCCCAGACAAGCTATGGAATTCACATGATGGCAGGAGTAGTGAGACCTTTTGTATGAGAGCCACTTCCAAACCCCATGAATCTCCAGCACTGCTAGTATTATCAAAAGGAGATGCCCCAGAGAGGTATCACAGGAATTCAGTGGTACAATATCAGTGGTAATTGTCGTAAATGCCACGTGTGGAAGGCTTGTAGGATTCATCCAGTTTCAATTCTATCTAACAAACCAGGCGTTTTTCAACTTATGTGGTTGGCTTTGCAAGATAATCCAGACAAGAAGCATGCCCAGATGAACTAACTTTATTGTAAACTCACATTAGCAGAATTTTGTACTTCTGAAAATACATTTCTGCCCTATAGCTGTTACAGCGCAAGAAACAAGGGAGGATACTTTTTGAAATGTTGATAATGCCCACATTCCTTCTGTGGCCTAAGCTGCTGCTTATCCAAGGTTCCCCTGGCTTCAGCTCTTTCCCGACTCCCAAGGTCATTCCCACATACCCTTATATCTTGCCACCCCACTGGATGTGATTGATTACTCCCACTTAACATTCTTGTATTATCATGAGTAAGACTCCCTACCACCCAGCTACTAAACTCAGCACATCATGGCAATCTAAACAAGCCTTAGCCATACATACAAGCCCGACAATTGAACCTGGAGGCCCAGGTCCTTATAAAAGATACTGGGTATGTGTTCTGTATATTGAGGCTTAAAAGATGCAGAAGTAGGAACAGCAGCTGTGAATAAATGATAATATCTCGCCCAGACGTGGAGGTCTGCTGATACCCATATTTTACTCCATAGCTCAAGATTGCATATTGTTGCCTTAGCAACTGACACATGAAAGGGCCCTAAAAAACTGTCTTCGAAAGCCTGTACTTGCATGTATTTACAACAATGTGCAGAAGGGAAAAAGAATCCTCTTTCAGTCATCTGCTACTATTGTAGTACCTAAAACAATTTTGGTGAAAGGATATACATGTACAGTGCTGAAGACCTTTCTCCAATATAGTTGCAGATAGATCACATTTTCACAAGAAACCATTAAGGGCAAGTTCTTCCCTTTGAAGACCTCTGGTTCAAGGATCTTATTTTGGCATGGAATTGCAGGAGAATTGCTCCCTTGTGCATGCAAAGCCCAGATGCAGACTTTTTTTTTTTCACATGCAGACAAAAGCTTCTTCTCTCCAACCTGAAATTTGCTTAAACATTACAGATTCCACCTCACCAGGAATCACAAAGTTCCATGCCTTCCACAAGAGCCAACTGTAGTTAAACATGCTACTAAACTTAGTTATCCAAAAGAAGTTCAGGGTGGCACACAGAAACAGGTCCAACCAGTCAATCTAGCATCCAGAAATTTTGGACTGCTCTTAGCTATCACACTCAAAGATCAGAAACTACTGATGTAGTCTGAAAGATATGCATGCTGTATTTTCTGAAGATATCATATGCCATCCATCCCTCTAGTACCTAGCTCACTCCAGAGGTTGTAGCACTACAATTCCCAGGAATCCTGGCCAATCCAGTCAGTTTGGGAAACATGTTTATTTAACATAAAGTACAACTCTGCATTTTACTTTCAGTTTACTTAATGTTTGGATTCCAGTATGGTGCTCATGGTACTAAATACATCACAGCTACCTCTTTTGGCTCACGCCTTCATCAAGAAAAATAAAAATGAACAAATGAGTAGCTAGTATAATACAAAATAAAGCGGAACCCTAAGCATCAACTTTATTTCAAGAATATTATTAAAGAATCTGCACCTATTCTAGAGGCATTCTTACAAAATAAAAATAAAGGCTTTCTTTGGCAGTACACTTGCATGGCCAGGAGAAAAATGCTATAGATCAGCTGAGGTGATAAAGAACATTACTTAAGATCAGCGAGAAAAAGGAGGCAATTGGACCAATATCGCTACTTTGCCTTCTGGTCAATGGGCAATTTTGTAGTTCATAAATTCAACACTCCCAATCTTTCTGCTGCCCCACCAAAGATGGAGTGAAACGCTGATTTAGTTTATTTTTCCATAAATTAGTGGGCTAATTTATTTGGAGATCAAGGTATGGTCATCACTGCTAAATACAAACATTACCTTGAGGAATGGACAGTATGACTGATGGTAACCACATAGCCCGCTCCTCCAACATCTAAATATGGCCCAGTGAAAGTAATTAATCCTGGATTAGCCACTGCATGGAGGTACCTATCAGAAAACAAAATGATCACTTTTGATGTAACAGAATAATTTCACATGACAAAATGAACCTTGTAATATGCGAGCTCAACTTCTGAAATTATGGGAAAATGCACAAAACCATAGAAACGCAGACAGTTTAAAATTAGTTGAAGTCATCTATCAAATCTGTTTTCCATATTTCATGTTTTTTAAAGGCCAAATATTTTTAGGATTAAAATGTGTCAATACAGTAATATTATGATGATGAATCTATAATTATTAAAAGATGACAGACACAAATTAGTGAGGCTCATTTCAAGAGAACTGAATGTCCTAATGAACAGTTGCACTGAAAATATGAACTTCATTTTTCCCATTTCAAGAATCATCTCTGGAAGTATCAAAGATATCAAATTCTTGCTGGTGTTGGGGCAACCCTTCTACTTCTACCTTCTCAATTTTTCTAATTTAAACAGAGTGTTTGTAGCTAGCTTCTTATAATTAAGTATATAGAAATATCTGAACTCTAAAGGAAAAAGTGGTAAAGAAATGGTTATTTCAATTCTCCAATACTTTGCTATTCCAGAAGATAAAAACAAGGAAGAGATGGATTGACAAGATTGGCAGAAAGGACTGACAGCTAGAGACAGGCATTCTGCATTCGGTTAAATTCACTGGCTTCTGCTTTGATTAGCAAAATGGCTTAGTTCTCACAGAGCATGTGGAATGGGATACATTTAGGAGTGTTCCTCATGGTTATTATCTCGTTTACAATGTATACAAAACATTTTCTTAAGCCAAGCTTGTGCATAATTAATAGACAACTTAAAATGGGATTACAGCAGAGGAAATCTACACTACAGGAGAGCAGCTCCTCAAAATAGTGTGATAAGCAACAATGCCATGAGGATCTGAAATTCATAGAGAACCCCGGAAGATAAGTTCTGATGCATTTTGTAAATAGCAGATTTTAGTATCCGAATTAATTTGCTGATCCACCAAAGGGCAAAGAAAGAGAATTTGCCCGTTAAAAAGCAAGCAGCTAACAAAAATTTAATACATTAACACAAACTATACTATTACATGTGAAGATATTTCATCCGCCAGGGATTTATTTTTCCTATAAATCCATCATGGAATATTCACTCTCATTCAATATTATTAGCCTGAATGGTTTTCTTAAACCTTTCATAATGGGATCCTAAAACTCACCATTGTCTCCTAGTGGAATCAAATGCTTTGTCCATGAGGGAACCAGGATAAATTCTGAGCACCCCATTGGGCGTTGCTATGTAACGGCGGACAATGTAACTGTTCAAGCTACTCATTTCCATTTGTGTCATCCATTCATCTGTGACGTGACTGGTAGCCATTACTTCATTTCTGACAGAGAACTGCAAAACAAAGACAGACCTGGCAGGGTTCCTTTAAAACTTGACTGAAAAGATAATAAGCTGCTTGCAGAGTTTCTTACTGATTCATAGGAGATAATCTAAACCCAATTACTACTTTAAAATCTTCTCTCCCCAGATGGATCTAATAATAATTATTTTTTTTAGTAAATTCTAACACTAGTGAAATACTTTGGCAGTATTCACAATATTTAATGTTTTACTCTGAATCTAAACCCTTGTTGTATTTTTAATTTTCTACACTTTCAGAAATGAAGAGCATTTGGTTTTTTCCATGTTTGTAACGTTGACCTGATTTTCATATTGTTCACACTGCTAACAAAACTTTTTTTTTCTATCAAAAACTGCTGCCTGTTTTTCTTAGGTAAGCAATTTGGAACCATGATCTTAAATCAGTACTTTGGAAATCCATTTTGGGATACAGTTGGCTTAGAAACTGTCTTAGTGAATACTGTTTGTTCTACTTCAAAGAAAAGAAATAGTCCAACTTTAAATGTACTACATTTTTCATGTTGCCAAGAACGAAATTTACCTGAGATAAAAAAAATTAATAAAAAAAACAGAACAAAGAATTAAAAAATGGTACAACCCAAAGAACCATAAAAATCAGCTATCCGATCCAACAAAAACCCAAAACCTAGCCAAATATTCATCAGATGTCTTCAAAACCCAGTTGCTCCTTTCAAATCTCACATCAAAGAGTTTCAACAATTAGCAATTAGCACAATATCCCCAAGGACAGAAGCATCATAAAAGTATGAAAGGTAAAATGGGCACAAAAATCATACTTTCAGCCCAGGGTTGGCAATGAGGCGGGTGTTGTCACTCAGATATGCTGTATAATGTTCCACCATCCTCTTGGTCTCGGGCTGACTTAGATGTTCATATGGAGACGAAAAACCACCTGCAGACAACATCACTGTAGGGCTTTCTGGAAAGACAGCACAGATAAATGGTTTAAGTCAAAAAATGTCCCCTTGAACCCAGCTGTAGAAAATCCATTACCTAGTTGGACCCCTACCCCCATTGAATTGTAGTGTCTGAGCATGTGTAATTTAAGAAAAAACAACTCAAATGAAGTACTATTGTGCTTCTCACCACCAGGGTGTACTGTTGTAATGAAACTGTACTACTTAACATTCTCTTAATTCCCTACCATTTCTATACAACAAGAAGATTGAAACAGAAGAAACACCTATCATACTTCAGGATATTATAGGAAAATGGAGTAGTTGGGGTGGATGAGTGGAAATGGTAGACAGCTACCTAGGCTGTAATAATGTGAAGTCCCTTCAATTCAATCTCAACTCCTGCTGACTTAGTGAGCATGTCCATTCAATTTTCTTGGTGAAAGGGTGAAACTAGTTTGCCTTTGACTTCTTCTGGAATATTAGTTTTGATTTCCTTGGCTGGTCTCAAGTCCTGGAATTCCCATGCGGTATTCCACTCAAATAATGATTCGCCATGCTTAGTACACAATAGGAATAGCATTAGCACTTAGACTTATATACCGCTTCACAGTGCTTTACAGCCCTCTCTAAGCGGTTTACAGAATCAGCATATTGCCCTCAACAATCTGGGTCCTCATTTTACTGAGCTCAGAAAAATGGAAGGCTAAGTCAACCTTGAGCCAGTGAGACTCGAACTGCCAAACTGCTGGGGAGACGGCAGAAGTAGCCTGCAGTACTGCATTCTAACCACTGGGCTACACAATGAAAGTGTGTTCAAAAAAACATTTAACCAGATGTTACCATTTGCTGAGGTGGTATTAAAATACATATACGAAGATCAGATTATTTTAAGTCCCTTCTACAATCAGTCCACCTAATAGTAAACAATTACAAAGTATCCAGTCATGGAAAAACAGTTGTCAAAAGCAAGCCGGATGGTGAGGAATAAGCCTGAATCTAAGATGTAGAATGTTACTTCTGGTATATTGAAAATGCTCCCAAGTTCTCACCGGTCTCTGATTGACCACTAATGCAGAGAAAAGTCAGTGCTGATCAACTAGGAACAACAGAAACAGTAATCTGGAGGCACTAGGATTTTTCAATGTATGCATCAACTTTCCCCAATCTAGTGATATCCAGATTCTGCTCTCATAATTCTCAGTCAGCATCTGGAAGTTACTAAATAGGAAAGTATTGGTGTACACACTGTATTTAATATAACATGTTGAATGGAAAAAATAAGCTGGAAATCTTTTTCCTCACGTTTATATTGTTTATTAATTTTCCTCAGCCTTTAAGTGGATAGCAATAATAATTACTATACAATAATCCAATTTTTGTAAATAGTTTCCAAACAAGCATTTTAACTATGCACATTTAAAGGAAAGAGATTGATAATGTCTTTACTGAGGAATTAAAATGTAAGAAAAAAATGTGAAACTATACTGTATGATGAAAAATCTTTTTTTTTTTCAAAAACAACTTATTATTTCTCTAACTTTAAATTTCCTATTTCAGCATGACCTGGAGCAAACTTCTAAAGTGAATGTGCCTGGTTTTACTGTATAAATTTATTCTGATTTATTTATTTATTTTTAAAAAAAGACAATGCTTCACTGAATTCAAAAGTTTTAAACAGTTTTAATATCTCTGAACTTGCCAATTAAAAATATTTCAAAGTCCATTCTCTCCAGAGTTCTAGCTTCCTTTTACAAAGATTGACAGTATTAAATATTTATAGCTAGGAATAAAATCTGCATAATTCCAAAATTACTAGGATACACCATGACTGGCATGGACTTCAATGTTTTCATGTTATTGCTAATGATTTATTTGACAGCCAGGAGAATCAAGCTCAGCTTTGAAATAGTGTAACAACACGACTCATACTTAACACATTCTGTTTTCTGGAAGGTAAGTTATGCAGCTGTCTATTTCCAAAGTATATTTATTTCAAACTTTTTAAAAGCAAAAAAATAGACAATGCCAAGACACTTCCTTTCCCTTGTACATTTAACTAATTTGCAGCCAGGTCCATTTGATCAACAGTTGCTAGAATTCACTAAAATAGGGTGACTGAAAGGAAGACAAACTTTATATTGAATTAGACCCTTTGACCTTCTGGCTTAGTGTTGTTGATACTGGCTGCCAGCAGTTCCCTAATGCTTCAAGCTGGTTTTTCTAATCCTTTCTGAAGATGCCAAGGACTGAATCTAAGGTCTTCTAACATACAAAAGAATGATATGATTCTCCCTCTCAATTATCCATTAAGAACATTTAATTATATGCCAGACTAAGGCAATCCTACTGAAAACAAAGGCATGAAGTCTATTAGTCAAATAGTGGGATTAGAAGAAATAGATGTATCAAGGTAAAATGTGCATGATTAAAGTCTTATCTTTTTATTTTCATTTCTTGCTGATGAGGGGAAAAAAAATCACTTTTCTATTGGCTTTCATCTTGACACCTCCCAGAGCCTAATTCTCTGGCTCCTAAGCTCTGTAATCTTTGAGCCAGCTAGGAACCTCAGCAATGCAATTTCTGCATTTGTCTGAATAAAATTATGGAACCTCTCTCAGCCAAATTGAATTACACTTTTGACAATTTCTCTTTATATGCTCTCCATAAATTTTCTACTGGGCTCCCACAATTGGTAACAATTCTATCCTAATGCATAAACTAATAGTTCCAATGTGTGATCCCAAAAAGTTGTTGAATTGTAACTCTCAATAATCCAAACCAGTGAATATCGGAAATGATGGGTGCTGCTGGCTACCAATATCTGGGAAAGAAATTAAAGAAGGTTACTGGCTTAGTATTAGCTGGAAATTTCTCCAAAACTATGCACCACAAGTCCCCTGTATTAACTAAGATACTTGGATGGATACTTTCTTTAGTATGTTTTAATAGTTAGCCCTCAGAGGTCTACAGGATTAGTGTCTAAGACTGGGAAAAAGTCTCAGGATTAGGATCCAAACTTTGATTAAAAGACAAGAGGATGCTTATTATATTGCACAAGTACCAAAGAGACATAAGGAATAATCGGTCCTTACCGGTTAGAAGCGAGGCCAAAATGACAGTTTTGGGGATAAGGGTAAGGGTAGTATTGAATGTGGATAACATGATCTCAGTTCAGGAAAATCTAAAATTATGATATATTTCATTTCTTTAAGCCTCTTTATGAACATTGTAATGTAGTTCATGCTTTTAAAAACTATCTGGAAGATAACCTAAAAGACAGTTTGATCCTAAGATAATCTGTTAGCCTGAAATGATTGAAATCCTACCTGGAAGAATTTCAAAAATGAATAAACAGGGATTCTGATAACTTATCAGAGATAGTTGAACTTTCTTAAGAAAGGGTGGGACAGATATTAGGAAAAGAAATACTTTACCTAAGGTTGCCAGTTGTTTGAAATGCAGACAAGCATTGGGCTGGCCTAACAGATCCAGACGATGATAAAGAAGTTTACTACTGGGTACAGTGTTGAGATTTTTAAGTTGTCTAACAGGTATTTCTGGTTGTATTACAACTATACACAAAATGAAAGATGTGTCTTGAACCTAAAATATAAGCAAGCATGATTTAATAAAGAATGCATTCTATTTCAAATTAAGAAGCAAAACTGAAAAGTTTATAAATGTTTTAATGTACAGTAAGTAAACATTTCTGGCCTACATTTTCAAAGAACCCGCACTTTCTTTAAACATTCCTTTCTCTTGGGCTCTTTGAGATTTGTGATTTTCTAATTTATTTATTATAACAGTGTGAGTTATGTAATATTCCAGATCAATTTTCCAAATTAATTCATCCTATTAAATTTATAAAGGATTTTCATACATGTTGACTATCAAATCATGACCAACATAGGCTTGACATTCTTTTATCTGAGAATCAATTTAAATGTTCAAAATTAACATGATCAATCCTTGCAGCAATCTTTCTTCACAGGAATGCATCCTATTAATTTCTGAAGATTGAGTGACACAGCAGGCATAAATAGGCATTTACTATAAGCAGTTTATTTTTTTTAATTTATGTGGCATAATTCCCAAGTATTTACCAAGATACAACTCTCAGCCATAGCAAACACTAGACTTAAACCTTGATTCTGACTGGCCTGGAGGCATGTAATAAGACTCCTATTGCTTGGAAATCTAAGAAAAAGAATGCCTGTTTTGCTGCAATTAAAAAAATGCCTTCAGCTTCAATATATTATCATATCTTCAAGTGTCACTTACCATTTTCCAGGCATAACTCACATTGTAGGCATCTTTCCCAATTTCACGCAATTTGTTGACATGCCAAGACAGTGACGAATTCACCGGGACTGTAATAAGTTGACTGCCGAGGGGGAGGCTAAGTTGGCAACAAATAACATCCATCAACTACTTAAAATGGGAAACCAACTTAGTACTGTTTTTTTTTTACTTTAAAGTCAGATCACTCAGGGAAGGGCTGCATGGAATTTATTTTTAATTAAAATAGAAATATACTGCTTTCCTACATTCTATTTACTCTTTATACTCAAAGCCAAAATGCTGGTTCTGATCACATGAATTGGTTGCAGATGAAAAATTTCAGTGCTTATATGGAGAGAATGAAACTACCAAAGGCATTAGTTAGACAAGAAATGGTAAAGTTGGTTCCCTAGTTATACACAAAGGCAAATGATAATACTGCCCCATATCTGATAGATAACTAACTCCTTCAAGGGAAAGGAGGACTCAAGACTCAAGCAGAGCCTCACTTCTTCATGTATTTCCACCAGCCAAGATCCGTTCACATTAAAGGAGCTGGGGGAAGTCTGGAAAGTAGGTCCACAAAAGTTAAAGCCAACAGTTGGGGCTGGCAGATGACATTGCCCATTTTGCAAGAGTCTACCATCTCTCAGCTGGATGCAGGGGGGCAATGGAATCTTCCTCCTCTTTTCCACCAATCACAATGCTCGCTTGCATGTGTTACTTAACATGCAAGGCAGGAGCGTAGTGTCCTCACTACACTCAAAAGAAAATTGAAAGTTTATTGTTCTTGCCTTTTCTAGGCTTCAAGTGCCAGAAAAGACACTGGCAGCCACAATCTGCAATACACAACTGAGACAGATGGTGTCCTGATGTTTTTTTCAACAGAGATGGAAGGAAGAGCAGGAGCCTTATTAAGAAATATTAGAAGACCAAAATTTGCAAGACTCCATAATGTAGGCAAGGACTATGCAGTTGAAATATCTTGACACCCTTGCCCTTTGCTTTTATAACCAATCTTTTCCATGTTATTTTAGGGCAGGTAGCTCTATTCTGTGTATGTGAAGCAGAAGATAAAGCCAATCATGCAAGAAGCTATACAGCAGCAACAATGATGAATTAGTTATCACATAAGGCATTAAGGATCTCAACCAGTCTAGTGTTTAGAGGAAATGACTAGCCCAAGCTGGGTTTTGTGCCTAAAGTGGGACTAGAACTCACAGTCTCCTGGTTTCTAATCCGATGTCTTCACCACTACACCAAACTAGCTCTCAAGCATACACTAAGTTTCTATAAAGGATCAATTCAAAATCTTACCTGAGGATATTCTGTCGAACCAGTTCAAATTTTGGAATATTCTCATAATGTATTATGTCTGTGTGAAGCGGTGGTTCAGAAAGCAAGTAGGGCCTGGTGAGAGAGGGGTGCATCAGCGTATAACCTAAAAATAAAAAAATTAAAACAAAAAGAGACAGTTTTGCATACATTACATTGATGTGATATTGGAACAATTGGAAAATATCAAATTAAATAGTTACTCAGACAATGAAATTGTATTATCTTCCCATACAATAAGAATTGAATTATTACATTACCTTTATCATCAATCAGAAATGTGTATGAAGCCAAAGAATCTTGGTAATAGGTAACATCTTCCAAAATATAGGCTAGATTAACATCCACTCCAACAATTCCTAACAACAGGTTTCCAAAGTAACATGGTTTACTGACAGTCATTATCAGACCTGTTTGAAACATGTAAACGCCAATGATTAGCAATAGAAAATCTGGAGAACCTGAGAACAACCAGTTCATGATTCAACAGGACTTTCAAAATAACTGCATATAAGCTTTTACTTTAATGGCTGAGGAAATCCATCATGCTTTTTAATTAACATGACCCACACTCCATCAAGACAGCAATATTTGTCATTCTGGTTTCAGGGACCTGCAATGAGGGGTGCTCAACTTTCAAGGGGAAACTTTTTGTCTGCTTCAAGAACTGATAGTACTGAATATGTATTTATCATACATCATATTTCAGTAAAAAGGAACACTGTAAAATACAAAATATAGAATATAAAATCTGAAATCTTAACAGGATGATTACAAAAGTATAACAAAGTTGCAAATATATATATTTGCCAGGAAATCAGCAAAATCTCCATCTCTGTTTTGACACTCTGTCACTACGTGTTGGACTGAATATGTGAACTTGGCCATTAGAAGTAGACTTTTAAAATGTATGTGTAAGCTTGCAGCCTAAATACTGTAACTTTTTTCTCAAATAATTTGTTTAGTCATCTTACTTATCAATTTAATTGTAATTTTCATGCCAACTGGGATGGTGGGCCTGGACATTTGAGGCCATGTCATGGACCAACTGATTCAATTCATTCCGTCATCACATAATTACAAGATTCAACAGCATTAAAATGAAAGTTTACACCTCTAAAGGGATG